GTGATAAACATGGAACTGCACCCACACCTAGCCTCTGCTCAGCAGTCAGCATGTGCTGTGACCACACACCAGGACTGTGCTTTTATCAACGTGATGCTTTTTTTTTTTTTTTTTTACGGATTTTGTTTTGCATGTGTGTGTGTGTGTGTGTGTGTGTTTTAATTGGAGGAGGTGTGTAAAACAGCCAGCCAGTGGAAGCTGCTGGAGGGGCCCTCTGTAACAAACTAGAGGTTGGAACATGCGGTGGGGGGTAGGTTGGGAGGGAGGGGACGTGTGTTCTTGCGGCTCATTCACGTTCTTTATGGCAGAAGTCAACGCAGCAGTGACATGAGGCATTTTAAAGTGAGAGTCTGCGTTATAAACAGCGGGGCCCCCAACGGGGGAGGAAGTACACGGAGCCCCGAGGGGCCCCCCCAGCCAGCCCAGTGTCCCCCGATCCGCGGCCGTTCCCGCAGCCCCCGCTGCCCGGCAGTGGAGCGGAGGCCGACCGTCCGCTCCGCGTGCCCGACCTTTCATACGGGAACCAAGAGCGGCTGGACGCTCACTGGTCCTTGTCGGACCCCAGGCTGGACGGCCGCCCACCCGGCCTCGCCTGGAGGGAGCACCTGGGCTGCCCGGCTCCGGGCCCGCTCCGGGGATCGGGTCTCTGCACGTAGTCCCCGCAGATGCGGGCGGGCGCCCCTCTGACTAGCAGGGCGCACAGTGTCCCCCTCCCGCGTCCGGGGGCGAGGCCGCGAGGACGCCCCGTGCACTGCGTCTCCGTCTCCGTCGGCCCCGGCCTCCCCTGCCGGTGGACGCCGAGGACGCTGCCAACGGCGGCTCGTCCCAGATTCTGCCGCCCGACAGATCGCCTCTCGCGGTGGGCTCGGCTCGGCTCGGCTCGGCGATCAGGCAGCGCCGGGGCCGGAAGGGCTCCGGCCAGACGGCGGGCGTGGGGTCCGACCGGCTCGGCCTCGCAGCCTCCAGCCGCCAGGGGCGCTCGTCCCCGCGCCCCGTCTGGCTTCTCCGCCCTCCCGACGGTTTAAAATCGCCTCTATAGCGCCACTGTAATTTGCATTTCTACTACTATGCGTGAAATTCTGCGTTTTTTCAACATGTGTAGAGCCAGTTGTGTTTACTTACCTGTGAAACGAGTCTGGTGTTTGCCCATTTTCTTCAGTCCTGTTGGTCAACTATTGGGCTCCCCAGGTGGCGCTCGTGGTAAAGAATCCACCTGCAATGCAGGAGAATACAGGGAGCTCAGGTTCCATCCCTGGGTCGGGAAGATCCCCTGGAGAAGGAAATGGCAACCCACTCCAGCATTCTTGCCTGGAGAATCCCAAGGACAGAGGGGCCTGGTGGGCTGCAGTTGATGGGGTGTCAAAGAATCAGACACGACTGAAGTGACTTAGCACACACACATCACATAAAGTCTTCAGGGTTCATGGTGTTGATGAAAAATTAATCAGTCAAGCTACAAAAGAAATGCAACATTTTATCTGAGCCAAATTTGAGGATTATAACCCGGGAAGGACATGACAGTAAGCTCTGAGAACTGTTCTGCCCAATATATGTCAAGGCACAGTGATACAAGGTTTTTGAGACCTTATATCCCAACCTTGAGGGTTGGACATCAAACGACTTATTGACAATTTACACAACCCAGATCTAAGTGTCATCATAGCCCCTCGGGAGATTAAGAAGGGGTTTATCTTTAAGGAGTTGTCTTGCTGATGCGGGGAGAGTATTGGTTTTCATGGTTGAGCAGGTGTTTCTGCCAGTGGGGAAAGTTTGGTCGATGCCTGTTGCAGACACACCATACACAAGCGCAGTAGGGGAAGAAAGGGGTCCAAAGGGTAGAGAACATTTTTTGTACAAACTTTTGTCTTGCCATAGAATATGAATTGCATTTCACAACAGGAAAACTCTGTGCTTGCTCCATCAATCTTGTGGCTCTGCCCCTCTCCACATGACCCAGAATAGCTGCTCTGGCTCCAACCACCACATCCACATTCCAGCCAGCAAGAGGAAACTCCTCCCACCTAGAGGACATTTCCTGGAAGTGGTGCTTCCAGTTACTTACCATCTATCTGGTTCCCAGGCCTCGCTGAGCTTCAAGGGAGCCTGGAGGTGTGGCCTTTATTTCAAGAGGCTTCATTACAACACACAAACAGAATGTGGTGGGGGAGGCTGGCTGGTATCTCAGCAGCAGGTGCTGTAGCAGAGGCCACTCCCCACCCCACAGAACTGGGTTCTGGAAGCCTGGGGCTCAAGGATGAAGCTGGGGGCCTCAACTGCCCAGCAATGGTGTTCCCTGGGGGGTCCCAGGAGGGACCAGGGTCTGAGTGAGGGTGGCAAGACCTGACCCCACAAGTTCTTGGGGTGTGGGGGGTGTGAACAGTCTTCCCAGCCTGGAGTCAGCCCCCGGTTTGCGGGGAAGGGTTTGGGGGGAAGACTGCTGCTTCCTCCTCCAAGACGCCAGATGTACCTGGTCCAGGAGTGGGGCGTCCACCCTACCCCCAGAGCAGGACTGGAAGGGGGCCAGGAAGACACATCTGGGGTGGAGGGCCCCACAGAGGGCGTGCAGGGGGGTGCAAGGATCCCTGCCCGCTTCAGTGCTGCTCGTGGGACTGGGGGGGAGCCACACCACCGGGGACCCTGTGAGGGACAGGTCAGGAGCCCCAGCCCCGTAACGAGTGCCGTCTACACGGCCTTGAATACAGAATGCCCCAGGACAGGCTGGGAGCTGGATGCCAGGGCCACACTTGGGGGGCTCAGGCTCCACCGCCTGGACCAGGAGACCCGTGTCCAGTCTCTGGCCCTGTGGCCTCAAGTCAGTGGGGCCAGGGCCCCAAGCAGGAACACACAAGGTTAACTGCAGGGCCCGAGACCAGCCCAAGGGCCCCCAGCCGCCCCTGCGGATCCCCCGGGACCCGGCCCCTCCCCACACAGCCTCTGGGAAAACCTGCTTCCCTCCACCAGCCCCCACACTGCCCACCTGAGGCCCTGTCTCCACCGGGCCCAGGACACCTCCACATGGACCCAGGGCCGAGACCCCGAACACAGGTGGCCCCACTTTAAACCGCCCTGCGAGGGACAGAATTCAGAGTCTCTACAAGATGCTCCACCCTGCTAAGAGACAGAAGAGCAGGACCCAGTGAGCAGCGTGCCCAGGCTGGCCAATAGCCCCAGTGGGCACACTCCACCCTGCACCCGCTCCAAGCTCTCATCTACCCGGCTCTGCACTCATGTCTGACACAGAGATGGGGAAGGAAGACGAGCTGGAAGCAGTGAGAGCAGCACAGGCTGGAGTCTGGCACCAGAGACTGGACTTTGGACAAATCCTCCCAACTGTAAAACATCTGCAGCCTGGAGCCCCAGGGCCCTTGGGGCGCGACCCAAGCTAAGGACACAGGTGCCCTCAGGCCCGGGCAGGGGTCCGCCAGCAGCCCCACCCACCACAGCCCTGCGCAGGGTGGGGGGCCAGGCTGAGCTTCCGAGACGGGGACTCCCTGGGGCTTCCCTCCGTCAGAGGAGCCAGTGCCGGGCTGGGCACTCCTGGCAGGGCGAGGAGCAGAGATGCCAACATCCATGACAACACCGAAAACCTGGGCAGATGGGCAGGCTGCACGCAGGCAGGGCCGAGCGGGCGGCCCCGGGAGGTGAGGGCCAGCCCCAGACGGGGGCAGAGCGGGGGTGCGGGAGCCCCCCACCCCCCGCAAGCACAGGCCCCGGGCGGGAGGGCTCTGTCCCTCTCGTCTGCCTCGGATCATGACCAAGGTCGCCCCGCAGCGAGGCAGTCCCAGCGGGCCATCCGCAAGGACCCCGGATGACAGCAGCCGTCAGACACGGGACAGAGCTATCCAAGGAAGAGGTTTTATTTTCAAGTTTCTATGGAAATGTTACAAACAATGGAAACTGAAAGGAAAAAAAACATTTAAAATTTCAAACTAACATTTTAAAATAAAAAATATGATTAGGTGAAATAATAAATAACGACACCCCAGAACACTGTGAGATGAAGGCGGGGCACAGGCCAAGGGCAGGCCTAGGCCAGGGGCACCCTCCCAAGCCTGGCTGCCGGCCCCTCGCCCGCTTGGCGTTCTAGGGAGGCAGGAATGAAAGGGCCACACCATCCAAATCTTGACTTTATTTTTTTTAATATAAAAAATGCAATTTTGGAAACCCACCCTACCTTTTCCCCTAACATAATGCTTTTACCTCTTAAAAATAAAAATAAAGTACTAATTCTATATACATCACATGTACCATACAAAAATGTATCCAAAGTTTCTATTGCTACCAAAGTGTTCTAAATTAAAACAAGTTACAGAAAGCCCCTCATTGTAAACAAAAGATTACAAGTTACAAAATCAAAGCACACACAGCCAGAGTCATTTATACAATAACCAACATCCTGCTCCCAAAGCAAGTTGAATTTTTATGTGCCTGTATAAAAATGCATATCAATATACTTCTGCAAATTTATTTTTCATTACAAAGCAGATGAATACACTTTCTACAATAAATAACCCGCTGGGAGGCACGCCGTGGGAGGCTGGCAGGTGGGCCAGGCGGCGGGAGGCCCAGGAGGCCCGGCCCGGCCCTCACGGAGGCGGCGGAGTGTTTTTGGTGATTTGCGAGTGATGCACGCGGCATAAATTTATTCTCCACTTCTTTCCACAAAGTACCATTCAAAATAATGTCATCTTCTTTCTTAAAATACACATTTGTCATTGTAAATGTACATCCCGTCTATTAAATAAGTGGTACTCTGTGTAAAGAGTATGATTTACAAAATTATTAAACATTCAAAAGTCTTAAAAAAAAAAAAAGAGCTAGAGATGGAAGAAAGACGGCAGCAGCGCCCCCCGGGACGCGCCCACGCCGTCAGGGCGCCCAGATGGGGATGGGTCATAGAAAACCGGGAAAGAAAACCTCGCCCTCCCTGGAGAAAGGACTCAACCACACCCAAGACGCAGAGTACGTTACGGGGCCTGCAGAGCGTGCGCACTGCGCGCTCAGTCTATGTCGCTGAGGTCGCTGGCCGGCTCCCCATGCACGCGGCTCAGGTGGCTCATGGCGCGGTCGAAGGCGACCCGCACGGCCTTGCGGATGCTCGAGTTCCTGCCCTCCATCATCTTCAGCTTGTCTATCGTCTCGTCGATACCCAGAGGGACCATCTTGGACTTTGGAAGCCACTGCCTTTAAGGAAGAAAATGGACTGTGAGACCCAAGCACGCCAACCTGCCCCACCAACCCCGCACACACCCGGCCCCGCCACCGCCGCCTGACCGCCAGGGGCCACCGACCGCCCCCGCCTGACCGCCAGGCACACGGCGCACAACACCGCTCCCCAGCAGGCAGAGAAGGGCAGGGCTGCCCAGCGGAACCCAGCAGGGGCGGCGGCTGGGGGAGGCAGGGTCAGCAGCACGCCCCCACCACCTGGGGACCGCTGGCCCCCCCACACAGGGCGGTCTGGCCTCAGACGGGACTCTGAGTGGGGGCTGCGGAGGAGCCTGGAGCCAGAAGGCCGTGCGGCCTCGGCGGGAGCACCCTTGCAGAGACAGGGTCTGGGGGGCCCGCCCTCGCCGGCCCCGCCCGCCGCGGCGGTGGCCCAGCACCCCCTGGCGCTCAGCGGGGCCGCGCTCACCAGCTCCGCTTGTTGTCGAAGAAGAGCACGAGGAAGAGTTTCTCGTCAGCCTTCGTCTGCATGTGCTCCCCGATCTTCAGCACGTCCAGCGGCGGGGCCGGGATGGTGACCCCGTTGTGGTGGCCGGGCACGCGCGGCATCTTAGGGTCGATGATCTGCAGAGGGAGGGCACGAGGTCACGGCGCAGGCCGCGGACAGAGGAGCGCTGGGCGGGGACGGGACGCCAGCCACACCCCGACCCCGACACCCCAATCCCAACTCTGAGACCCACACCCTGACACTCTGAGGCCCCAACTCCGACACCCCTGACACCGCACGGGGTCTCCCGGGACACCTGTCCCCGTGGTGCTGGGGTGGCCCCGGGCCCGGCAGCAGGGAGACACAGCCGCGCGGCCCAGCGCCCGCACGCGCGCCCGCTCGCCACGCTCACCAGGGCCGGGTAGGACGGGTAGCCGCTGCACTTGGCCCACACGACCTTCAGAGGCTCGAGGACGGAGGCGGCCGCGTCGGTGGAGATCCACATGCTATTCTGGCCAACCTCTGGGGGAGAGGTGCGCAAGAGGGGAGTCATGGCAGGGCCCTCAGGACCCGCTGGGCCGTGCCTAAGACCCCCTGGGCACCAGGGCCGGCCCAGCTTGCGGGCTCAGGAGCCCGGGGGACACGGCTGGCCCGGGTTGGTGTCTGCTGCAGCTGCGCCCCTTCCCCGCTCCACAGCCCCGCCCAGGCCTCTGGGTTCCGGCACCTCCCCCTGCGTGCGGGGCTGGCAGGCGCGGACTCACCAGCGGCGATGCGCGCCGCCTTGGCATAGTTCCCATTCTCGATGCAGGAGATCAGCTCGCTGCGGCCCTCCAGCGTGTGCCTGCGCACCAGGGCCGGCTTGCCGCGGCCGCACTTCGGAGCACTGAAGCTTCGGGGGAAGCGGACAGACCGTCAGCACCCAGAGCACCGGGGTGCAGGGCGTGGGGGTGTTTAGGGGAGGCAGTGTGGGCTATAGCCACGTTTTTTGGGCTCCACCACGTGGGATCTCAGTTTCCGAACCAAGGACCAGCTCAGGCCAGGCAGTGAGAGCACCAGGTCCCAACCACGGGACCAGCAGGGACTCCCAGCCATCACCGTGACCGACCAGGACTGGGGGAAGAGGCCCCACACAGACGTGACCAATACGTCCGCAAGCTGCGCTCAGCTCTCACGCCGTGTCTGCCCCACGTGTGAGCTCCACAGCGCAGGTGGCGGGGAGCAGGCACACCCCGGGGGCCCACCTGGCGTCGCAGAGCGGGCTGCTGCTGGAGCAGATGCTGGACTCGGAGGCGCAGCGGCGGCGGGGCGCGGCGGTCCTCCCCGGGGCACCACCCAGCTCCGGCTCCTGCTCTCCCTGCGCGGCCCCAAAGCCATTGGTGAGACCTGGAAAACAGGCGTGCACGTGGCCCTGAGCTCACCAGCTCTCTAAATTGGGACAATGCAGACAAACACGCCCTGCAGCCCACACCCAGCGCGCCTAGTATGTGGAGACAGACAGACGCACGGAAGAGGGGGAACAGAGTGGAAACACAGACCCCACAAAGGCACAGACAGACACTGGCTATTCCTTCCTGGTCGCTCCAGCCCCACCAACCAAGGCCCTGAGCCTGCGAGGGGACGGCGGAGGCTTCCAGGGGATCTGCACACCCCCAGCGAAGGAAAACCTTCTTCCGAAACAGAGCACAAGCAGGTCCCCAGCCCTTCAGAGCCTCTGAGACCCAAGTCAGGCGTCTGGTCCACGCGGGGCCCTTGTGTCCGGAAGCCACTGAAACCGACCCTTTCACAGTGCACAGGAGGCCCAAGAGCAAGTGGTCCACAAGCACACGGCATCACGCAGTAGGTCGAGGACGACCTCGGAGCCAACCTCAGGTCCTGCCCCACAAGTCCACGCCAGCAGGAGGCAGGGAGGGCGCCGAGCCCCACCTGCCGGGTCACGACGTGCTGGGAGCCTGAGGGTGCCTGGCGCCGCCCAGCCCGGCCCAGACCCTCTGGGCGACGCCTGCAAGGGGGACGTGACTCTTCCCCCAGAAGAATCCCACTCCTCACACTTCGAAAACTTAAAAATCCATTTCTTTAAAAATGTTTTGAAGGAGCTGGCTGATTACCAGTTTTTTCATCTGCTGTACATACTTCTCTGTAAATAAAGGGAGATGAGGAGACCCTTTACCAGACAGCAGCAAAGATGCAGAAGCAGAGCACGCTTTCCGTTCCCAACAGAACGAAGGCCCGCCCACAGTGAGCCAGTCAGAGCCAGTGCCCCTCTGCCTGACTTACACCAAGCCTAGCGTGTTCTCTTTTCAACCCAAGTCTTATTTATAAGTAGTAACCGCAGGGAGACAAGGGTGTTACACTCATTTTTGGAACCTGGACCAAACCACCCTGAAAAAGCAAGCATTCGTCTCAGCTCAGGGGCCAGGTCCCTGGGTGAAAGCTGTGCAGCGGGGGCTCCGAGACCCCACCCACACCCCGGGAGGCCCCCGGACGGCCCCTGACGCAGGGCCAGGCCAGGGTCAAGGGTGCTCAGCTGTGGAGCTGCTGAAGCGGAGCCAGGGGGCCGCCTCCCCCCACCCCCCAAGCTGCTCAGCTGCCTTTCCTGGCGGACAGGAGGAGGACCCCGAGTGGGTGACGGGCAGCCTCACCACCTGACAGGCACCCGGCCCCTGGGAAGGGCTTGGCGAGGGGTGAGTGGGGCCTGCCATCCGCAGCCCCAGCACACAGTGGGAGGCAGAGGAAGCCAGGAAGGCCGGGTCTCCCGAGGGCGGGAAAGCGGGGAGACGGACCCAGCCCCAGGACACCAAGCACATCCCGGGGAGACGGCGCTGACCACCGTGCCCACGCGCACGTGGTGACGAGTGACACCAGAGGGGGGGCCCCGCTGGGAGGCACGGGCACATGCACGCCTCCCCCGCCCAGGGCAGCGAGCCACGCCGTCTTCCACACGCTGCCCGCTGAGCGGCAGACAAGCCCAAGGGCACAAGGCCGCGTGGCTGGAGAGCGCCAGGCTCCGCAAGCTGCCCCACGCGGCCCGGATACCTCGCGGGGGCTGAAGTGACACGGCAGGAGCCCGCACAGGGTCCCTCTGAGACACCAGCAGTCAGGTCAGGACCCAGTCAGAGGTGGCTTCGGGGACAGGCCAAAGCCCCCAATGTCCCAGATGACAAGCACCCAGGATCTCAAACCCCCCTCTCCGCCCCAAAAACGGACAGGCCGAGTGGGGAGCCCTGGCCCAACTGGAGACGCCGGTCAGCGGGGGCACAGCGACCATCCTGAACCCTCGCTCCGCAGGAACAGGAGGCCTCCAGGTGCTCCGGCAGGCGCGCTGGGCGCTGAGCTCCACCTGCCACGCCCACTGCCCACACGCAGGGCGCCCCGGGCACGGGGCCGCAGCCAGCCTCGGAGCAGCGGTGTCAAGTGCTGGGTATTTTGGTTACAAGTTTTTATTTTTAGTGTTGGCAATGGAATTGCATTTTGGGGTTTTTTCCACCTTTCAATGAAAACACAGATGCACAGCAAGTAGGATTCCGATGCCCTGCTCGTGCCCAGACCGGCTCCAAGAAGATGCAGCAACAGGAAGGCCGGCGGGTCCCGTCAGGGGATGCCCCCAGGCCCGGGGACAGGCCGTCCACTCCTGGCAGCAGGCACTCGGCATGGTGACAGAGAGAGAGTTGTACCACCTGGAGACCAGGGTGTGACTGAGGAGCCGGAGGAGAAGCAAGGGGACAGCAGAAGCCAGGAGGCCAGCGCTAACAGCAGACAGCCAGGACGGACGGTGCTGACACCACATGGGCCAGGGCGGGGGCGGCCGCGCGGTCCTTCCTGAGCCCAGCCCCAGCTCCACCCTGGTCCTCCCAGCCGGTCCGATGCCGGCCGAGGGCAGGCCAGGTCTCTGTCCACGTCAGTCGTCTGTGGAGGCAGCGGCTCTGCGGGCACCTCGGCCCAAGCGTCTGCACAGGCAGCCCGTGCGCAGGGAGGCCACGCGACGTCCCAGCCAGCTTGAGTGCCTGCGGGCGGGCAGGGTGGGCGGCCTGGCTCCTCCAGGGCCGTGTGTGGGTTTTGTGTGGCGGTTCCAAAGCCATCCACAAGGACTGGGTGACATGCAAGGATGCGGGGTCCTTCCGCCTTCTCCAGTCCAAGGTGAGCAAGAGAGAACAACTAGGGTCCAAAGAGTGAACTACCCCGCATGTTAGTAGTTAAAATGAGAACCTGGAAAACAGCGAAAAAGCCGTTTAGTCTGACTGAAGGCCCCGGGGACCAGACTCCGCCCTTAACAGCACGCACGCCGGGAGCCACGCAGCAGGTGTCGTGAGAGGCTGGGCAGCAGCACGGAGCCCGGCCCAGCCCAAGACTCAGCGGGCAGACAGCGCGGGCCCCGGAGACGCAGCTCCGAGAGCAACAGAGAGCGCGATGATCCCCAGGGGCACCTCCAATGAGAGGCCAGCGTGCCCAGAAGAAGTGAGGCCTTGCCGCACGCGGTGGACACCGAGGACTTCCTACGAGGCACACAGACGGCTCTCTGGGAAAAGCGGAAGGCTGGGAACGCCCACGTCCCGAGACCATGAAGTCTGTGGCTTGGAGCCACGGAGCCCGCCAGACACCCGGGCGAGGCCACGCCGGGGCTGGGGGCCAGGCCAGTCGGTGCCAGACAGACCCTCAGGACAAACCACACATGGAAGACAGAAAATGCCTCTGTCTAGAGAGGAAGAAAGGGTTCTGCCCGAGCCGGGCCACGCAGCGGGCACCTCTAACGTGCCCAGCCCAGCCTCCAGAACCGCCTTCCAGAGTTGCCACCACCCCTGAGAACCTGCAGCGTCCTTAGCTCAGGGCTGGCAGCGAAGGAGCGACATGGTTTCCACAGAGACCTCTGCGGAGGGAGCCCAGAGGCCCCAAAAGTCCGGCAGCCGGAGACCCACAAGGCCACAGGTCCGGGGCCTGGACGCTTAGAGAGGGCACTCGGGACCTGGCAGTCCCGCCACACCAGCTTCGCCAGGGCCCTGGCCACAGGGCGCTGTCTGACTCGCCTCCCGGCAGCAGAGGAAGCTGCGAGGAGAACCCAGCAACATAAAACCAAGCTGAGAGTCTCCCACTAAGCCTAGCTGAGAAAGGCCCCCGCCATAAAGGGACCCATCTGAACCTGTATCCTGGACACTCTCGCAGCCCACAAAACTCTAACAAGGTACCAAAAATTACCAACTTGATATCAACCCATCAAAATAAAAGCACTGTACTTACTGGCAAGTGTATTATCTAATAAAACTAGTTAACGTGCACAAGTTTACTCTGGCGACAAGAAGACTGGTCTGTCCATCAAGGTGCAGGAGACACACCTCCGTGAAAGCCGGGCGCTCGCCCACCCCGTGGACCCGCGACTCAAATCCAAGCAGCAGAGGGGAGGACGCACTTCTCCGCGTGGCTGTGACCAACGCACCGAGAGCTCACGCCACGGCTCCGATCCACAGTCAGCACGCCTCCAGAGACCCGCACAGCACAGCCACCGTGGAGGGGACGCGAGGGTGACCGACGGCTAGTTCACCAACACGGAAGCCCCGCGCCCCCGCCGGGAGGGCGGCAAACAGGCTGCGCGCAGGAGAGCCCAGGCGCCCGGTGTAAACACAGCCTGGGGGACCCCTGAGGAGCGCAGGCACACGGACGTGAGTCCATCAGACAGACCTCGGCCCTGAGAGCTTCGTGGTAGCCAGCAGCACATTCAGGCTGTCTCAGCAGCAGACAGCTCAGCACACGGGACTCAACCACGCCACGCAGCACAGTGACAGCAGGCGGACGGCACACCGCGTCCACCCGGGCCCGCAAGGCTTCAGAAGCGGGGCCCGCCGCCCGCACCCACGCACCCACCAGTCAGAGGCCTCCAGGGAAGGGTCCGGCAGGGCCCCCAGGCTAAGACGACCCCGGCCCTCGGCCACCCTGACATGGTGCCACCCCAGGCCTGCGACTGGGCGCTTTTCAAAGAGAAACAGCGTCTGTCTCCTCACGTGGACCACAAAGGCTGCACACCGGCCCTGGAGGCACCCCCCCCGCCCACTCTGCCCGAGACTGGGAGCACACGGGCGGCGCGATTTACCTGTGTCCAGGCGCTTTCCCGGGGACCCCTCCTCCACCTCAGAGTCGCCGCAGGTGCTTCGCGACCTTTTTCTTGGCTGCAGAAGAGTCTCCAACCTCGGAAGGACTACAGACAAAAAGGTTTTGGTCCCTAGCTGAGGAGAAGTTGGCTGGGTTTCAGTGTTCTTGGCAGACTTTGGGGGGCTTACACTTTTCGATTTGCAGAAGAGAACAGAGGTGCGTCTGTTTACATCGCTCGATGGCTCCGCCCCCGGCGCAGCGCCACTATGGGCGAGGGTGGGCTCTGGAGAGTGTCCGCTTAGCAGCGCGCTCTGAGTGCAAGTGCTATGTGACTCATTACCAAATGTGACTCTTTTGGGCAGTTTACTCTGCTCTGGGTGGAGTTCTACTGGGTTGAGGGTTGGTGGTTCTGAGTTAGGCTCCGAGTTTGAAGGAAGAGGTAATGCATCTGATGGTTCAAGTTTAGGGGGAGATTTATCTCCTGAAAAAATTATAAATAAAGTGATTTTTGAAAGCTGATAATTATCAAAGCTATCATAAAACTTACTATAATTGTGAAGTCCACCAAAATACTAATTCAATCAAGGAAACACAGCATCACACATAACTGTCTACAAGCAGTCGCGCTTACACTGTGTGCGCGTCCCTGACGCCCGGCCGGCGCCTGCACCCAGGGTCCAGAGGCTCCCTGAGACCACCGCACATGAGCCAGCCCAAGACATCATTCGAGTTCATGACAGTCGCTGCAATCGACATTCACTTACCTTGAGGAAGAAAAATATGCCAGGTAACTAAGGGGGTCTAAGCGGGCATCCCCACAGTCCTGACCTGGTCCACAAGGTTAGCAGACAGAAGGAAACAAGCGTGTGAATCTGGTTTCTGACCAGGGCATTCTACGTCAACGTTAAGAACAGGGAGCGGTGAGTGGCTGAGAACGCTCCAGGAAAACCCCCCATCGGTTCTCAGACCATGCCACCTTCAGAAACGTTATAATCCAAGTTCGTCATTTTAAATCTGACTTGAAAGATAAAAACACAATCTTTGGACAAAGACTATCTTAGCCTCGTTAGAAACACTTTTACAAATTACAAAAAAACAAGAAGCCTGAGAGCCAGTGCATTAGCCCCGGGCCCTGGGGAGCTAGAGAGACCCGTCCTTGGAGGACGGGGTGGGCAGGTCCTCTGGGATGAGCCACTGAGGTTTCCCTCCATCAAGGCCAAGGCTGCCGGCAAGACATGCGACACCTAACAAGTGACTAAGCAGCACGTCCGCTCACACGGCCGTCTCTGCTGGACAAGCCTGCAAACCTCCCCAGAGCTGTCTGAAACAACGCAAGGTTAACGTTTCAAACTCAAAGTCATTTTGAAAGTGAAAAACTACACAACTTCTAAGGTACACTTATGTCTCTGAGCACATTTTGTGAATTCTCCCCACTGATAGTGAGATAGGCTGGCCAGGCTTGGCCCCAGGAGGGCGGCCACAGTCAGGCTCCGCCCAGAGCTTTCAGATGCCACTCAAGCCTGTGAAGGCTCGTAACACAGCTCAGAAAATGAGGAGACCACCTTTCCTTGACCAAAGCAAACATCAGAGCAAACACACATGCAAACTGGAAACACGTGTGTACCCTGCTGATGGCGTGCGGCTGGTGATGGAGCTCCCACCCGCTGCCCGCGGTCACGCGGGACACTGACCCGTGGGGGAGCTGGGGGCAGGCAGAGTGAGTGCGGGACGCTCCCCGGGAGCAGGCCCCCCTCCTTCCCTGGAGAGGCCTCCTCTCCCCCTGACCTGGGGCCCCACAGGGGCTCTCGTGCTGACCTGACACCCAAGCTGCCACCAGCATCCCGGCATCTGCCTCGGCAGGGGACCCGCGCTGCCCTGGAGCTGCCCTTCGTGGAGGATGCCCCTCCCAGGCCCCACTCAGCAGCAGGCCAAGACGGCCGCCCCACCCCAGGCCTGGGCGCGCCTGCCAGGGCAGCTGCCCCCAGCACACAGGCAGTGAACCCCGTGGCCCGCAGCCCTCACTGTGCCCACCCTCTGCCCGCACCAGCCATGCAGTGGGCTTGTCAGAGGGGCGCCTCACTACTCCTCCCGAAGATGACGCTATGGCTCAGGGCTCTGCATCTGCCAGGGCGGCTCACAGATGTGTCCTGGCTTCCACAGCCTCACGGATGGCAGGGGTCACAGCAGAAGGTGCTCAGGTGACCCAGTGCAAACCACCCCCTGCCACCAGCTGCAGGCCTCTCATGGGCCGCGGACTCCAAGCCTCAGTGTTCTCATCCGTCAAACGGGAACAAACAGGACGGTGCCCGCCATCCGGCGGCCCACAGAACAGGTGCCAGCCAGGGCTCCTGGGGTCTGCCCTCGGGGTGCACACACTAGACCCACATCCCCATGGTCACTGGCTATGGGGTCTGCCCTCGGGGTCCACACACTAGACTGACCATCCCCGGAGTCACTGGTTGCTAACACACCACGCAGCTCCTCGGGAGAAACGCTCCAGGAACGTCTGGAGTAAATGATGTGTTCACAGCATAAACGAACGCAGAGCCTCAGGACTCATCAGCGTGAACCCTGGCATCTGGAGTCCCACTCAAGGGAACTCACAACGCGCAGATCAGCATGGGCCCCGCCCAGACCACCCCGCACCACCACCCACGCCCCGGGCCCTGACCTCCCATGAGACGCCTCCAAACCAAAGCTACACATGCACCAGGGACCCGGCCTGGTGCCTCACTGGACCCGGTGCCGCCGTCTCTCCCGAGTCGGGGCATCCCCCCACCCCCGATTCAGGCGTGACCTCGTCATCCAGCCCCAGCTGTGCTGCTCCCAGCAGCCCCTCCCCTCTGGGGAAGGAGAGGGCCCAGTCCTGAGCAGTGAGGACAGAGCCTCAACCTGAGACTGGACCGAAATGCGGCCGCAGGAGGCAGACACCCCTCCGGACTCTCAAGCCCACAGCCACACCCTCCTGACTGTTCGGGCCCCCACTGCTCAAGGAAAGCAACCTGGAAACTGAAGCCCTGCCTGCAAGGCTCCCCGCTGACCATGGGGAGGTCACAGCCGCTGCCCCTCCCCTGCCCCGAGTCTCTCCTCGCCAGTTTCCAGTGGAAACCCCATGAGTGTCAAATCACAACTAAGGTGCTGAGAAACACTACCCTTCAGGACTGCTGACGACATTGCTCTCTTGCCCCAAGACCACGTCCCCACACGCTGCTGCCCTCCTGCACACACGGCCGTCTCCGCGGGCTGCACCAACCGCTGTTCCCACAGATGCCCCCCAGCACCGCCGTCTGTGGCCTCACAGGCGGCACCCCACCCGCGCTGCCGGCCAGCCACCTGCACCGCATCAGTCCTCCCAAAACAGCCCTTCCGGCCCGCCCCGCCCAGACCACTGCACCAGCGTCCTCTAACGTGGGCCAGCCCCAGCAGCAGCATGAGGGGCCCGCGGGAACTGCCGCAGAGCGGGAGAGCTCAGAGAAGCTGCTCTGCTGATGGGAAACCAGGCTGCCGCCCCATTCTCCCCTCACTCTCTTGCAGGAGGAGGGAGACACACGCCTGCACCCCGAGGGGCAGCAAGGGCAGCAGGAGTGGCTGGGAGGAGACCGTCCCACAGGGCCCCCGCTCCAGGTCCTAATGACCGGGGCCACCCTGCGCCCTGAGAACCCCCAGGGCGCAGCAGAGCACAGTCAGGGAGCCCAGCTGGACCAGCTGCCGAAGGTCCCCGAGACCAAGGGCTGCTCGGAACCAAACCCACAGGCAGGGCCAGTAAGGTGATGGCGGAGGCCCCGGACCCCACAGCCTCGCCTGAGTCCCGTCCCTGAGGACAGACGCTCAAGCCTGCAGCAGAGCGCACGGCCACCCAGGCAGAGGGCATCACGTGGGGACCCACCCCACCGCACAGTCAGCTACGAGCAGAGAAAGCTCGAGGATCCAGGTCCTACCCGCTGCTCCTCAGGCAGCTGGACCGCAGGACACCACGGGCCCAGCATGGCCCACTCGCTCACGGGCACCACCAAGAGAGACGTGGCATCACTGCCAGGACACGGCAGGCCCGCAAAGCCGGCACTCACCCGCAGAGACCACAGTTCTGTTCCAAGGGTGAGCTGTAGAACAGCTTTCTATGTCCTTTGATTAACTGCTCTGTCGTTCTTATTGAGGGAAAGTGGTAAAAAATCACAAAGACCACACACAGCTGCCAAGAGCCGTGCAGGGAGGGCGCCTGACCCCACAGCCTGTGCTGCTGCCTGAAACGCCCGGCTCTCAGGTGAGGCGAGGAGGGCAGGGACCCTCCACACCCCCGAAGGGCTGTCCCTGGGGAGGGGCCCTCATGGCGCGCGCTCCACCCACGGGAGCACAGGGCCGCTCGAGGGCCCTGCCGCCGCGCACGCCCTGGGAGAAGAGCTCAGACAGCCCTCCGCTGCGCAGCCTCGCCAGGTCGCCGGGCGCCTGCTGGGAGGCTCGGCTCCAGGCTTCCGCCCCGGCACGCCAGCCCCTCACTCTCCCACCGCCCTGCAGGGCTTTGGGCAGCCTGAACTGTGCTTGAGAAACAGATCTCATTCCACCCCCAACGTTTTTGAGTGGCCAAATGCGGCGCAGACAGGACGACACCCCGGCCTCGGCCCGGAGAGCCTCCAAGCGCTTACCTTCCTCCGCAGCCTCCTGCCCCCGCGGAGCACCGTCCTCTTCCGGGCCTGCAGTACCTGACTCCGCGGCTGGGGGCTGGCTGTGCTGCTGGCTCAGCTTGCTGCGCAGGGCGGCGATCTCCCTCTTCAGCAGCTTGGCCCGCTTGCTCCGCGACCCGCTGGACTTCATGGCGCACGTGAGGTCCAGCAAGTCCAGAAGTTCCCGCAGCTGCTCCTCCAGGGCCGTGTGCGCCCTGCTGGCCGGGCTCAGCAGCCTGTCCACTGCAGACAGACACGGCCGTCAGCCGCCGCGCGGGCGCCGCCAGCCCGCACCCAGGGCCCCACCCTCGCGCGGCGGCTGCTGGCCGGCCGCCACCGGCAGACACGGGAGCCGGGGCCACGCCGGGGCCACTGGGCCCTCCCGCCGAGACCAGGCGCCCGGGCGAAGACAGGGCCGGAAAGAGGTCCTGACGCGCCAGGGGCACCAGCGCAGGGCCCCCGTGCGTCTGAGCCGGAGTCTCAGTCCCAGGCTCTTATGTGGCTCTTTTAAAACTGGACTACAAAGTTCACAGGTAATTCACAGTTTGGAGTATATTTACAAAAAAATCCTTAACAAAATTTCAATTTCAGCCAATCACCAAAATGCATGAAGTAGACTACCTTCCATTAGTGAGGCAGCTAAGAAACTGAATGAGCCCACAGAACCCCCGTAGGCTGAGCTGGGACACAAACTCGGCAGCAGGCCAGACGAGCAGATGCCCCTCGCTCCGCAGGCTAAACCTCCTCCTAAAGCACCCGCCTCATCACGAGAACAAGATGCCAGGACTGGGAATCAAGTGAGAATGCGTCCTAACAGAAGGCCACAGATAGGAAGGTTCAAAGCAAGAAACCTAGTCTCTGAAAGCCTCGCAGTATCTGGCCTGCCCTCGAGCAGAGGACACCGCGGGGAGGGGCCGGGGGCCCCCAAACGCACAGGGGACACAAGTGCACTTCTCACGCCGAGTCCAGGCTTCGTGAAAACCTGGGTGTGTAAATGGACACAGAGACTCATGGTGACTCGCCGGGCCATTTCCTGGAAGGCCAGCGCCCCTTCCCGACCCAGAGCGCTCAGGTGGAGGAGGGGGTAGGTCCGCTTCCAAGGACCCGGGAGAGCCAGCAGACACAGGGCGTCCCTCCCGAGGCCGCCTTGTGAGGTGGGCAAACCCCAGCAGGGAGGGCCTGCCTGTTCCCTGCTCCCTTGCCAGGGGCTTCCTCCGCCACAGGACATCCTCACAGGCGCCCCCCAAGGCCCACCTGCACACACGGCCCAAGCAACACTGCTCCCTGGTCTGTATCAGGGCGACCTGGCTGTCCCACTTAGGGCCACGGCTCACGTGTCTCTCAAGTGGGCACCTGAAACGTGGCTGCTCTGAGCAGAAATGTGCTGAGTGTAAGATACATGCTACGTGGCAAACAGAGGAGAAGCCAGTGAAGGCAATCCTGTCTGCAACTCCTGTGTCACTTACACATTAAAATCACAATACTCAGGTATACTGGGTTAAAGATATGATGCGAACACAAGTCCTCACGAGGCTACTAGGAAATCTCAAGCCAGCATACGGCTCGCATCCCGCATCCTAAGCCTGCACTCCAGCGTCAGGGAAGTGCCCCCCAACTGCTCCCGCACGGCTGTGCTCACCCTCGTCCCAGGAGAAAGGCCGCCGGGGGGCCGGGGGTGGCCGCTCTGGCAGGTGCATCCCCGAGGCCTCGTCGAAGCCGACGCTGTCTGCCTGGCGCCGGGCTTGCCTGAGCACCACGCCGCCCTGGTCGCGCAGCCGCACGGCAGCCCGGTAGAACACCGTGTCCTTGGCGTTGTACTTCATGCAGTTGTCCACGATGAGGTCAAAGTCCTCTTCCAGCTCCCTGAGTGTCCGGTACCCCTGTGCTTCCAGCCGCTTCCGCATCGTGGCAAAGTCCATGGGGCGTTTGATGTGATCCAGATAATCCGGGACCTGATTTCAGGGAACAGAGCAACCATTTACAGACACAACCAGAGTCTCGCACTCCACGTAACCAGGACACCCGTCATGTACATACAGACACACACAGGCTCACTCCATGCTCACACAGAACCACTGGGCAGCCCAGGTCCTCTGCCAGACGCGCACGCACTGGGAGGGGTCCTTCCACATCCCTGGGTCACCACAAGCCCGAAGGAGGCCGGCACAGGAGGCAAGGACACCTACCTCCTTCAGGCTCACCGGCTGGGCGAATATGCGGGCCGGGTCCTTCTCCTGCAGCTGGTCCAGCACGGAGCGCAGCAGCACGGTCAGCGGCGTCAGCCGCAGCTCCAAGGCCATCTGCTCCACCTTCACCTGGGGGCCAGCGCACCAGGGCTCAGCGCCCGAGGGCACGCTCCCTCTGAGGAGCCACCTCCCACCTCGAGGGTGCAGCACCGTCCAGGGGCAGATGGAGGTCCACATTAAAGGCAAACGCAGTAGGCCCCTCCTGTTCACATCTCCTGGGACCCGATGGACACCACAAAGACCCCACCCCAGCCAGTCTCCTTCACGGCAGAGATCGGCGTCAGCCCCTAAAGCCACCAGCACCCCTCACCGGAGAGGACCGCTCAGAGGAAGCCGGGGCAAGGACTGCAGGGCCCCGCGCAAGCTGTCCCTTCCCCGGACGCCCCGCCCCCGCAGCCTCACCTGCTCCCGCTTGAGCTTCTCGCGCTTGCGCAGAAGCTCTATGAGAAGGCGCGCGCGCTCCAGATCGTGCCGCAGCCGCTGCCAGTACTTGAGCTTCTCTTTGGCGGCCTGAATCTCCTCATCGTTCTCTCTCTGAGAAGAAGAATGGGATCGACCTTGTCCCCCACACAGACACGCTCGGGGCGAGCTCCACGGCTCAGCCCCTCGCCTCCTCCCCAGGGAGCCTCCTCCTGGGACAAGCGCACCAGCGCTGCCGGCTCACCTCCAGGCCAGCACTGCGGCGGGGGTGGGGCCGGGCAGGGGGAGCGCGGGGCCAGGACGCCCTGATGCGGAGGCCTGCCGCCGGGCGCAGCCTCGCCAAGGGCGCCCCCCTCACCAGCCGGCCACCCAGCGCTTCCGCCTGCACCCCGCCGCCAGTGCCCGCATCCCCGGCCTCGCTCCCCCAGCTCTGCCCAGGGCCTGGGGTCCTCAGAGCCGCGCCTCCTGGAGGGGCTCTGGACTGCCCGCCCCCAGCTCCAGGGGCCCACCCTCCCACCGCCACACGTGCCACCTCACAGCACACCTGAAGGCTGTCCCACCACAGCTCCTCCCACACTTCCCACTAGGGCTCCAGGCGGGAGTCTGGGGCCCTCCTGGTCAAGGCACCCGGAAGCTGAGTCCAACCTCACGCACCAGGCTCCCCCTTCCCTGCTGCCGCCGCCGCCGCAGTAGGCCTGCTCTGGCTGCAGGCACCAGCACCGCTTTCAAGAACGCTCGGCACAAGCCTCAGGCCCTCTTCTCTCCTCAGCCTCCTCTGCCGCTTGGGACCCACCCCCATCCAGAGCGAGCTGTAACAGCGCAGCCATCTGGCGGCGTCTGCGGCCCCCAACCCCTATCCCAGTGCAAACCCTGCACCCTGGCAGCAGGGAGCACTCCGCTGAGGATCGACCCTGACTAAGGCTGATGCTACATTCCAGAACCTCAGGGTCTGAAGGCAAAGAACCCGTGGCCAGAGGAACAAGGCCCTTCTCGCTCTAGTGGGAAAGGTAGCAGAGAGGCCCGCCCAGGAGGCCGGGAGCAGGGTCAGAGCCGGGCCTGAGCCTCCCCTCCACCAGCATCCTCCAGCTCTACCAGATTCCAATCACCATCTTGTTTTTATGTTATTTGAAATTCTCAGGCATCAAACAGTAATTAACAGTAACATCAAGTGTATAAACAAGGCCAGTAAATACATTAAATGGTGGGCTCAGAAAACCAAATTCCCCGAGTGCATCTGAAATCATCTTGTTCATCAGTTTGAAACAGACATGGAAAATATCAGCTCCAAGGACATTTAGCCTGGTGGCCCACATGAGACAGAGAAAAGCAGTAAGTCCCCAGAAACTCCTGATGCCCACCTGCTGTGCCCGCCACCCGCTGGCTGCAGGACCGCAGGCCCTGCCCCCGACACAGCGCCCCCACCAAGCAGGAACCTGCAGGGAGGACCTGACCCAGCCCCACACCTCTTGTGTACAGACGGGCCTGCCTTTCTGACTCTGCATGAATAATTCCTACATGAAACCAGTCCTGGAAGGTCCCACACACTGGGGGCGTACCGCAGTCATTTCTGGTTTCAAACAACTATCAAGAGAGCTCTGAGAAGACTGTCTGCAGCCTAGTCATCATCCACCTGCAGACGGAGGGGAGCACACGCAGTGCCTAGGAGTGAGACGGACAGAACCCCCCACCCCGCAAGGTCAACACCAACGGGGTCAGACCAGCACCCCGGCCGGGGATAGGGCAGGCCAGCTCTGTGGCATGAGGACCCCGTACATCAGGCCGACTCCCAGGACACAAGCAAGGGTGGGAGACCCTGCGGGACAGCCGCCTTTCCCACCACGACGCCAGCAGCAGTGGTGTGGACAGCAAGAGGCCCTGCCCCAGCTCAGCAGGACAACCAGCTGTCCAAAAACCCCCAGAAGGCGAATGGGGACGCCCTCCCACCACAGGGCACGTCAGGCGGAGTTGGCGGACATGAGCAATCGAGGGCAGGTGGGACAGGAGCCACACACACCCGCAAGCCCCCACCCCAATCTGCAGGACGGAACCACCACGGGGACCTACACTGAGGCCAGGGCTCCATGGGCCCAGCTCACCCCATCTATCTGTCCATCCCTGCCTGGGAGGCCTGCCATGGGAGAGAAGGGCTGCACCTACCCTCCCAGGGCCCAGCTCAGGGCAGACGCCCAGACATACAGACTAGTGAGTCAGGTTAAACTCTAATACCAAGCATGTTTAAAAGTTTCAAAAACCATCAAAATCACACCAAGCCTTCGACATGAACGGGTCGCCCCCAAAAGCCAACCTAGGCTAAGATGGGGTGGGAAGCAAGAGGCAGTGCCGCCTCGCACCCACCCCAGGATGGGGCGCTCCCGGCCATTCCAGGCTGGCGGGGGGCAGGCAGACCCCCACCCACGGCCCTGCCCACACAGGCTGCACCACTGAGCTCACTACAACCAAGTCAGGACAGGCCCCGGTCAAGCCCGGGTGCCCCTCAGGCTAAACCTCTGGCTCCTGCCGATTCCTTCGGCCAAGAGGACTGGCCCTGCTGCTTCCCGTGAGTGAGTTCTCCTGTCATTACCAATTCCCTCAAGTGTGGCAGGACGTGAGAACACGACTGCTCTGAAACCCACGTGCTGACCCGGGGAACACGCGCTCCCCTCAGGTGCGGGCAGGCCCCTCACACACCCCAACCTCGGCCCAGGCCCCACTCCCCACGCGACTCCCCCTGCCAGCCCAGCCCGGAGACCAGACTCCCAGCTCTGCGCTCTCTGCACCTCCCTCTGTTCCGCTGTCACCGGGCTGAGAACAGAGGCCCCGATCCGGCCTCCCTGCTCCCATCTCGAGATGCCCTCTGCCTAACTCGCCACCCCTAAGGCCCAGCACCCAAAGGCCTTGCAGGCTCTGCCCTGCCCCCCTTCCTGGAGCTCCCGAGGCAGCACCAAGCCAGCCAGCCACCCTCAGTCCCCACGATTCCAGCCCTGCAGCCTCCTGGACGTTCCCCCACCCCGCGGCCAACCCTCGCAGCCCACAGGCCCAGGTCCTGACACAGCCCTCACGGAGACAGAGCCCCGTGTCCAGCGGGGAGGAGCGGGGAGCACAGGGCATCCCCAAGAAGGGCCCGGGAGGGGCGGGAGGCTTAGGATGAGCGTCCCCACCCCAGGGTGAGCAGCAGGACTGGACACAGCTGTCAGCAGTCCTGTCGCTGGACAGAGCAGGTAGGAGGCTGCGAGCCGGGCTGACCCCGCCAGCCCCTCTGCACATGTCCAGGGCGGCTCCGGCCTGGTGCGCGGGGTCAGCCTCCCCAGACGGGGGCGGTGGTGGGCCTGCACAGCTGTGCCCACCTCGGGGGAGGGGACTCAGACGGCACCACAGGCAGGAGGACCGCCAGGCGGGGGGACCTGACCCGCCCGTCACACCCCAGGAGCGGTAGGTCCAAGGAGAAGCCCCGCGGCGTGTGGTGCCTCCTTCCCCGGAGACAGAGGAGGGTCAGGGGCACGGCCCACCTCTGGGCCGTGTGGCCTGTGGCTGGCCCACCCCACAGCCGCCAGAAACCTCACGCTGCTCTGCGTTTCAAAACGCGTCACCGAGATACCGGAATCCCAGCTTCTCTTTTTCACAAGCGTTTGCGCATGCGCGCGATACTAGACTACCTGCCATCAGCGCCGCAGGCCTGAGGAGGCAAGGAGGCGGGGCTCCGTTCAGGCCACGGCGGCACACGGCCCGGGACTCGCACGGGGACCTCAGGGAAGGAGGGGCACAGGGCGGGAGGGCAGCGGCTTTCAGGAGAACGCGAGGGAACCGGCGCCGCGCCACTCCACACGGGACCAGCGACGGGAGCCTCCGGCAGCCAGGCAGGCCTGCCCCGACCAGGACTCGGCGGGGGGCTCCCCACACCAGGGAACCCCTGCCAGGTGCAGGGCCTGGGCCCCCATCCAGGGGCACCACATCCCCTGGACTCACTTGGGCATCGTGGCTCACGGAGCCTTCCGGACGACGGGAACCAGCAGAAGCGGCCCACACACAGCAACGGGAACCGGCAGAGGCGGGCAGCCACAAACAGCAACGGGAACCGGCAGAGGCAGCCCTGCTGCACATGGGCAGCAGCAGCTGACCCCCGTTTGTCTGTGACAGCTCACGAAGCCGGCTTCTCCCTTCCTAAACCCGCCTTTCAGAAAAGCGCTCTGAACGTCAGCCGGCCTGTGAACCCGCGTCAGCTACCAAGAGGAAGGCACCCATCTCGCCCCGGCCGCCCCTCCTGTGCAGGGGTCCCCGCCCCGAGGTCACCACACGCCCGCCCCGCAGTCAGCTGGCAGAGGCTTCCCCGCGCGCCCCCAGCAGGCAGAGCCAGGAAAGGCCAGAACACGGCGGGGCTGAGGGGCACCTGGGACGGAGGCTCCGCCTGCCACCCCGCGGGCCACGTACCTGCTGCGAGCTTCTGTGGGACTGCAGGCTGGACTGGAGTCTGCGCAGCAGCGGGGCTCCGTTCCTGGACAGCCGCTTGAGCAGCCAGTAGCTGTGGGCGCGCTCGACAAACTGCTTCTTCCGCTGAATGGCCACCTGATTCGCAATCCTATTTAATCTAGAACACGGAAAAACTCACAGTTTAGCTATGAAGCAGGACATGGACACATTTTTACGGAGACTAGAAACGACAGCGTTACTGTTCACAAACCGTGTGCGCCCCCCGCCACCACCTGCCTCCCGGCTCCGCCTGCCTGCGGGCCCCGTGTCCACCACTGCCACTCAGGTCACGCGTCCAAGGACCCCGGGTGTCCCCCCTCTGAGCCGCACACGCTCACACACCGATCTCCTCAGAGGTGAGCAGCCCTGCAGGATGGCTCCTCTCAGGGGCCCCCGTCCCCACAAGACAAAAAAGCAATGGCTGGAGGCAGCAGCTGCTGGGGGTAGGGTCAGCTCCTTGTCACAAAAATGAGCAAGAGGCCTCCTGGCACGACCATCGTTTCAGAGACTGGAAAATGCGAAGGATTTGTAAGAACACACGAGGGGACACCAAGGGCTCACGGCCTCCAGGCCGGCTCCTGGCCCCTTCCATCGCCCCTCCTGGGAGCCATGCCTCCGAAGACAACCAACGCAGGCCAAGGGCCAGGCGGCTTCCTCCCGGTACGCCGGACACCAACGTTTCCGGGTGGAAATTAAGGAATTTTAAAAGGACGTCTCTCGAGGAGTGCGAGTCCTGAATCACTCATAACTGTGCTGACACCCTCGGCTCCGCCATGTCCAGACCCGCAACGCTCCTTCTCACGAAGGCAGTGGCCACATGCCCCTCAGGGTGGCCCCACCCGGGGCCTCTTCCAGCGGCTGAGGAGCCGCTCCACCCAGGCCCGTGGCCCGGGCCAACACGGAGCCCCAGCCCAGCATGTGCGCAGGCCCGCCCGGTCACACGGTGCTGGCTCCAACAGCAGCCAGAGCCTCCCCAGGCCCTTCAACAGCTCCAGCGGAAGGCGCTGCGGACCCCGGGCCCCTCATCTGCAGAGGGCTGAGTCCATCCTGGGCACCCAGCAGGCGCCCGTCTGCTGGGGTCTGTCTTCACCCGGTGACCGCCACCTGACTCAGGGACGGCAAAGAGGAGGCATCTTAACACGCAGAGCGCACGCAGACGTGCTCTCACACACGCTCAGTTCCTGCAATGGTGAAGGGCAGCACCGATAAAAGGCAGACTCAGCGTGCTCACAGCGACTGCGGACATCAGGAAGGGACGCGAGAAGGTCCCGAGCCCGGGCAGGGCGGGCAGCAGCGTGGAGAGCCTCCCAACGGCCTTTCCTGCCCCCCGTCCAAGGCAACATGGACGATGGCATGTCACACGCCAACTAAATCTCCATAAAGCTGGCGGAGAGGAGGAACAAGGAGCAAACACAATGAAACAGGAAACAAGAACACGCAGGAAAACCTCAACAATACCAGAAGTGTGTTAGCAGAAGACTAGCCAAGAAACACATGGGAACAGAAATCAACTGAGAGTGAGTCTCACGCCTTTAAAGCAGCACTATTCCCACAGCCAAGACGCAGAGACGACCTGAACGCCCATCGCAGAGGAACGGACGGAGAAGACGGGGGCGGGGGTGAGTGACAGAGCGAGAGATGGAATATTGCTGCTGCTAAGTCACTTCAGACGTGTCCGACTCTGTGTGACCCCATACACGGCAGGCCACCAGGCTCCCCCGTCCCTGGGATTCTCCAGGCAAGAACACTGGAGTGGGTTGCCATTTCCTTCTCCAGCGCGTGAAAGTGAAGTCGCTCAGTCGTGTCCGACTCTTAGCGACCCCATGGACTGCAGCCCACCAGGCTCCTCCATCCATGGGATTTTCCAGGCAAGAGTACTGGAGTGGGGTGCCATTGCCTTCTCCGAGGTGGAATATTACTCAGCCATAAGAAAGAAGGAAATAATGACACTAGCAACACAGATGGACTGGAGATTGTCATGCTGAGTGAACTAAACCAAAGATGACACCATATCACTTACATGTGGAATCTAAACGACACAGATCAACTTATTTACAAACCAAGAAAGAGACTCACAGGCTGAGAGACCAGACTTACAGTGACCAAAGGGGACAGGGTTGGGGAGAGATGAATTTGGAGTTTGGTATTAATATATATACAGGACTGTATGCAAAATAGATAAATAACTAATGGCTACTATATAGCACAGGGAATTATATTCAACATTCCATAATAAATCTTAACAGAAAAGAATATGAAAAAACACCGTGTACCTTTGTCACCCTGCAACACACCAGAAATTTGCCACTGTTCAGTCGCTGAGTCATGTCCAACTCTGTGCAACCCCATGGACTTGCTGCAGCAAGCCAGAATTCCCTGTCCTTCACTGCCTCCCAGCATTTGCTCACACTCACATCCACTGAGTCGGTGATGCCATCCAACCATCTTGTCCTGTCACCCCCTTCTCCTCCCGCCTTCAATCTTTCACAGCATCAGGGTCTTTTCCAATGAGTCAGCTCTTCGCATCAGGTGGCCAAGGTATTGGAGCTTCAGCATGAGTCCTTCCAGTGAAGCAGAATCAATCAACCATACTTCAATTTTAAAAAAAAAGAAGTATCATGAAAACTGAGATGCAAAACAAACCTGTAGAAAAATGTAACTGGCCAAATCTGAATTATGGAAAAAAAAAAGAAAACTGAAATATATTCCTTTAACAATTACTCTAGAAACTGAATGAACCGTTTAAAAGTTTTCTTACCACCCTCCAAAAAAATAAAAGGAACCAGTTTTTCAGAGGAGGTTCACTGTCAGAAAAGAACATCAAGTCAGCCCAGCCCTGCGCTGACTGCGGGGAGGCGAGGACACGTGTCCAGTCCTCGGTGAATGTCCCGACGAGGCGGGGAGGGTGAGGTCAGGCCAGATGCCAAGTGCACAGAGACACCCCAGGGCCTGGGGTCCATGACCATGTGCAGGGGCTCAGTGGTCTAGAGTGCGGAGTCCCATAAATACCACTCACACAGCCGGGAACAGACTGCAGACTGCGATCCCCACAAAAGACCAGAAAAGGGGCCCTTGTGCCCTGCAACTCACTCCTGGCTCGCTGGGAGCTGCCCCTCGAGAGCAGCCCCCTCCCAGGACCCCTGCCAGGGCTGCGCTCACCACACAAGCGGGCACACCAACCACAAAAGGAGACGGTCACAAGACACTCTCGAGGGACAGGAAGGCCAGAAGACACCCCATGATGATGTCAGTGAGGAGGACAAGAAGGACACGCAGGTCACCTCCCAACTGACCCGAAATCCCAAGAGCCTGACAGACGACTGGGGAGCACAGGAGGCAGGCCCCGCACAGACACCCCCAGGGCTGGGTGGGTGTGTGTCTCTGGGGGAGGAGGTGCTCCATGGACGAAGCGGGCAAATGGCCCCACGGACACCAGCGCGTGAGTGTCAGGGATGGCCCGGGAGCCCAGCAGTCCAGAGGTCCCGTCAGTGCCAAGGCCGCGGGGCAGGGGCGGAGGGATCGCTGCAAAGCTTTCAGAAGAAAACCTCGAGGCCCTCAAGGAATGAACGGTTAAGTAAGACGTGACAAGTACAAGCCATAAAATAGAGCAAACACACACATTAAAAGCAGGAGGCGATCCCTGTGACGTGTGAGCCGAGGCGGGGCTGCCTGCTCTCGCCCATCAAACCCACTCGGGCTAGCGGAAGAGACAGGAAAACCCGAAGGATGGAAAAGCCTGCCCAAACCGTAACTTCACAGATGACGTCCAGAGAAAGCCTAAGGGAACCTGCAATGCGTGACATCAACATACAAAATCCTGGCTCTATACAAACACCCAAACATGCCGATTTGAGAAAACGCTGTTTCTAATACTAAGTTTTTCATGGACATTTTTAGAGAAAACTGTGAACTTTCAATGAACACTGGAGAGGTCGTAGTGAGCATTTATGAAATGGGCCATGCCCAGGTCAGGCTGAAGGCTGGCAAGGAGCCGGGCTTCCAGGAGGAAACACATATCTCGGGGGTGGGGGGCCCACAGAGCAGTCTCCAGGTCGGGGGTACAGGAACAGGTCAGCGTTGGCCCTGCCCGCCAGCAGGAAAGACAGGTGTGTGAGCTGCAGGACCTCAGGGTCAGACGCCGCATCCTCGGACCAGACAGACATGCTGTTCAGACACATCCACTCCAGGGCCGCAGGGCACAGCCCAGGCACGGCCAGGCTCTGAAGCGTGCTGTTATCTGCGCTGCCCAGGCCCCAGGGGAAGTCACGGGGCTGGGGTGTGCTTCCAAGTGACCCAAAGGAAGGAGCGGGTGAGGCGGACGGCCCAGTGCTGCCAAAGCTGGGGTACGGGGGTGGCCCTTCCAACCTCACAAACACCCAGACTTTTTACAAGGTCTTTTAAAGACAGTTAAGAGCAGGTACGCCGAGGGGCAGACACTCAATGAGCACAGCCAACTCCCTGCCACCACAAGCCAAGCCGGGGAGAGACCCAGTCCCCGGACACGGAGCCCAGCCCCGGTGACAAGGGGCCAGACCCGCGCCGTGGCCTGTGGTCAAGGCCTGCCCACACCCGCAGCAGGCCGGCAGCTGCTACGGCAGGAAGAACGGAAAAGCAGGCCTGAGAGGGACCCAGCCATGTCTGCTACGAGGGGCTGATGGGCCTGGAGGGGTCTCAGGAACAAGTGTCAGTCAACGTTTTTTGCTACATTTGATATATCCCTGTCAGTGTCTCTATTCTTTTTTTTTAAACTTTCTATATTAAAGTCATGACAAACAGGAATAAAACAGCATTAAAAACCATCCCCTGGGACTTCCCAGCAGTCCAGTGGCTGAGACTCCACACGCAGAGGCCGAGGTCAGGGACCCCTCAGGCCACAACCACGAGCCTGAATGCCACAGTGCAGAGCCCGCACGGCCAGATAAAACGCCACGCCTGCTCACACACACAGACGCGGGAGCAGGGCCGGGCCACCCCAGGGAGCGGGGCCGCCTTCACCTCCCAGCCGGCTGTAACTCCGAAACAGGCCCCGCGCTTTCAGAACAGCTGAGACGAAGGTCAGGGGACACGAGAAGCCACCGCCAGACCCACAAAGCCCAGAGTCAGCCTCCGGAGGGCGCAGTTCCGGGCCTTGCTGGTTCCTAGAGTGCCTCCTGCCCGGCTGTGCAGGCCACGGCTGGGAGCCCCGGGGGCCTGTGCGCACCTCCCGGCCGGACCGCCCCCGAGCCAGGCAGCTGCCTGCGCCGGGCGCCGCCCCTCGGAACCCAAGCAGGCGAGTGACAGCCAGCCAGTCTGAGCCCCCTTTCCTGAGAAACCCCACCAGCGCTGACCCCCCAGATGCCCGCCTCAGCACCCAGGCCTGCAGGGCAGGCCCTCTGAAAACTGCACCTCCCTCCACAGCACTGAGGAGAAGAGAACCCCAGGGGGCGGGCACGCCCTTCAGCCTCATGGGGAGGCACAGGGGGTCTAAGGGTGACCCCAATCCAAGGAGGCCAAGCGGGACTCCCGGCCGCAGGCAGGAAGGCACCCGGGGAGGCTGGCCCCCCTCGGAAGGTGCACGGGGCATGTGGACCGCCCCGGGAGGGCACACGGGTGAGTCGTGAGCGAGGGCACCTCGGGGTGAGGGGGTGACGGGGAGATTTCCCTCCCCCTACTTCTGCGACGTTTTATAAATCTGAAGTTATTTCAGAACAAAAAACTGAAAGTGATAAAAGGACAAGGCATGACAGGATGCCAAGGCCGGTCTCCACAGGCACCAGGCCCATCCCACGATCCACTGCAGGCAGCGACCCGAAGCGCAAGACAAAGCAAAACGTCCACGTGTCTGCCCCTCTCTGCAGAAGCATACGCGGGGACCGTGAGCCGGCACGGCCAGACCTCAGGCCTCAGCAGACGCCCCAGGAGCCGGGCCCACTCTGCGCCCCCAGGATGCCCCGGCCCGCCAGGCATCCGCACACCTGAGGGACATGGGAAGCCGCCCGCAGCTCCCCACTCAGCACTGGCTTCAACCCCAGACACACGGGAGTCCCTAGGGGAGGGGCTCAGAAGTGCCCGCGACGCGGCACAGCCACGGTGAGGCGCCAGGCTCCCCCACTGGGCTTTAAGGACTCAGTGCCCACAGGCCGGCCCGTGCCCAGGCCCCACCCCACCCCTGGAGGCCCTCGGGGCAGAGTCTGGAGCTGGCCGCCAGCCCTGCGCCCCACCCCATCCCAAACTCACGTACAGGGAGCCCAGCGAGGTCAGGGGAGGGTCAGCGTGGACGCGTGGCGGCCACGTGGCGCGGGCCCCGGCGCGTGCTCCCCCGGCGGGGCAGGGGCGGGCTCACAGACGGCTCCCCGCACCGCGGCCACGGTCCAGCCCACACCCCCAACCCGGGCTCTGTCCACAGCCCCTCCCCAAGGACGCGGTGGGCAGCTGCCTGACGGCACCCACACCACGGGGCACCCAGAGCCGGGCTCCCACCTGTGGGGGCCAAGAGGCTTCCCCATGTCCCCAGGCCGCAGCCCATCAGAACTTTAGAAATCATGGTAAAACTAGCTGCCAGAAACATGAAAAGCAGACAAACGAGACTCAGGCCCAGACTCCTCGCTGCTACATTCAACAAGCATTAAGCGTGTGAGCCAGCAACCCCTGAGCCCCCGCCGTCCGGTCAGCCTCCCCTGGGGTTTCGGCTGCATCCTCAAAGGGACAGAGCTGAGACGCCGTGCCCCCATCCTCGTGAGGGCCCCGTCAGAGCTCGAGAGGCAGCGTCCACAGTGAGCAGCGGCACGTGAGCCACCTGGGCGACAGGACAGTCCCTCCCCACGGCCCCCCTCCCCACGTCCAGAGCGGCGCCCACAGCGCAGAGAGCCTGCGGCTTCGCAGGAGCTTCACGCATCTAACGACCCCAGAGACCCAGAGGCTCCAGCTCCACACACCCCTTCTCCGGGCCTGTGCCGCCCCGCGCCTGCCTCCACCACCCTCTGCCCTCACCCAGGAGGCAGACAACGCGGCTGAGGAAACAGGCTCCAAGGAGAACGGCAGCCACCGAGGGAAAGGGACGCTTCACCAGGAGAAGGGCCGCACCAGCTCAGGCTGGAGCGGAGGGCAAGTGACCGCTCTCTCTCCTGACCTGACTTTGCTGACCCAACTTCAAATGTGCTGCTTCTACGTCGGGGAGAAAGTCACTCTAACTGAAGAACAGCGGAGGGAGGGGAGCGGCAGACAGATGTGCACGGCTCCCGGCCACCCTCGCCCAAGCTCACTGAAGGCTGCACCCTCACGGCAACAGGGCCGGGAGGCCACGAGGACCCCACCCTCCCACCCTCCCACCCAGGACAGAGCACGGCATTCCCCAAAGTGCCAATGGCACGCCTGGCCATACGTGGAGCAGCCCGCAGGGCCGAGACCACACAGCCGGCTGGCCTGGGGCCCTCAGACAGGAGGGGGCAGAGGCTCAGAGCATCCACACCTCTGTTCTGGGGTCTATTAGCAGATACCAAAAAAGGCAACCCTTGTAGCGTAAACACGCTGCAAGATACGCAAAACTAAACCAACTATCTGCCTCTTGCTGAGAGCAGATGGCGATCTCAAGATCAGTTGGTATGAACTACCCTCTTCAGCTGGAAACAACGTTTCAAACCACGCAAACTACAGAAGCGCTCACAGTCCCTGCCAGCACCCCCAGCCTTCTCACAGCCGACCCTCCCCTCAACTGAGAGAGGGGGCCCCTCCTCCTCTGAGATCTCAGAGCCCCTCCTGCAGCCGGCGCCTGAGCCAGTTCCGAACACCGTACTGGCGGCAGCTCTGTCCTGCGCCAGCGGCTGTAGAGAGCGTGGGGTTATAGCCCCACTGACCCGCACTGGGGCCTAGATCCTAAGGCCGCCCCGTGGACCAGAGCCTCAGGAAGAGAGCAGTGGTCGTGAGCTTGGGCCTCCCAGCCGCCCCAGCACCCCACACGCTGGTCTGACATCAGGGTCTCTGGAGACGCTGGGCAGCACCAACGGCGAGGCCCAAGTCCACGCACTCTGGCCCAGGTGCACCGCTGACCTCCGCTCTGAGCAGGGAGGGCACGGCGAGGGCCTGCTGCACCTCCGCTCAGCCGCCAGGGCAGCTTCCCCATCAGGCAGCACCTCTGACCCCAGGAGCCCACGCTTCCCAGCCGCGCGGCTGCCCCTCGGGCAGACAGGCGGACAGATGGGCGGACGGGCAACAGGCACGTGGGACTGGACAGAAGGCAGCACCTTGGACTCCTGGATTCTCAATTTATAAAGTCACAACTTTTATTTACTTCAATTTCAGTAAACCTGAAAACCCTGGGGTCTTAAACAAAACCTCTTGATACAAACCCTATACTTTCCAACCCTCAGGCAGAAATGTAAGTGAAGTCAAAGTGAAGTTGCTCAGTCATCTCCTACTCTCTGCGACTCCATGGACTCTAGCACACCAGGCTCCTCCATCCACGGGATTTTCCAGGCAAGGGTACTGGAGTGGGTTGCCATTTCCTTCTCCAAAGGCAAGTGAAACTGTCTTTTAAAAGTCAGACCGACTTATTTGCAAAGAAACACTGTTGGTTTTACCAGAAGTCTTCTCCAGATAAGAGGAATGATGAGTGCTTTCTAGTCACTGTCTGAACTTACTGCTTCTATGTACTTTTTTCCTCTTGGACACTTCTAACTTGTAACAAACACCCAGGAAGTGCCTGCTCCTCCAGCACAAGGCGGGATCTTCAGTGGCCGCGCCCACCACACCTGACGCCCTGACACAGCCCACTGAACCACTCTCCCTGCCTTTCCCGGGGCCCTGGGCCGGCAGCAGGCACGCCCTCAACACTCGAGCCTGTGTTTTAAGTCCTTCCCAAACCACATGGCACTCACAGGTCTGGTAAGAAATTCACCAAGTCACTTACTTACCTGGTAATCCCAACAAGAGCATTTTTAAGCCCGATGAAATAAAAACCGGCAGTAGCAAGAGAGACAAGCAGAAGGGAAACAGTCCAGAGATGGGGGTAGCCGGCGGGACCCTGACCCACCACCGTGGACCACCCTAGAAAGAGAACCACACGCCGACCAGGCAGCGCTCGAAACAGCTGGGAAGCCAGAGAGCCCGAGCCCCAGAAGGAAGGAAGACAGTTTCCCCCAGGGTGCCCGTCAGCCCCACTCTCGTCTCCACCATGTCGGCCTCACCCGGCCACACTGCCTAAGTCCAGCAAATTAAACATCCCACGAGGGGACTCCCTGCTGATCCGGCAGGGGGTAGTCTGCCTCCCAGTGCAGGGAACATGGGTTCAGTCGTTGGTCGGGGACCTGGGCCCCCACATGCTGCAGGGCAACGGAGCCCGCGTGCTCGGAGCCACACGCCACAGAGGATCCCGTGCACCGCAGTTAAGATCCAACGCAGCCAAATAAATAAATGCGTTTTTTAACTTCCCACAAGACCCCGAAACGTTGGTGTGAGCACAGCGAGGAAGGGCAGAGAGGGCAACAACTCCTGGGGCACCTGAGTCAGGGCTGCGGCCGGGGCAGGCTCGGCCCTGGGCCCGGAGGAAACCAGACACACACACGCCCCCGTCTCAGACTCGAGTCTCTGACAACATCCATGCTCCCGCCAAATGGAGCGGGAACAAGGTCCCCATCAGAGGGGCCGTCAAGGCCGGCCCCTGCACTCCCTTGCAGCGCTCACCTCTGCGGGGGGATGTAGGGCGCGCACACAGGCGGCAGGGCCGTGCAGGGCTCCCGGGGCGTCTTCTTAGCCTTCTTGGCTTTCTTCCTGACCTTGGACGTGGACCTGACCGCTTTGACCGAACTCTCCTTCCGACAGACGCCGTTCTTCATCTCCACGTCCCCGTAAATGTTCAGAGGCCTGCGGGTGCAGCCGGGGGGCGTGTGTACGTCACAGTAAGCGGTCTTCCTGACGGAGAAGGTGGCGGCACCGCCGGCCAGCTCCTTCACGGGCTCCATCTTCATATAGAGGCCAGCCCGCTGGGCGCATGTCACGTGGAAGGCGGTGTAGCAGTTGGCCTTGTGGCACTGGATGCAGGCGCCCACGCCCTTCTGCTTGCAGAGGTAGCACGTCAGCTTCCAGCGCGCGGGGGGGATGTTCCGCACGCCATCGATGGGCTCGATGAAGACGGTGTTGGCGAAGCCCACCTCGGGGATCCACAGGGCGCACACCACGTGGCCCCAGCGGTCATCGTCCGTCTTCTTGAAGGCACCGCCCTTGTTGGGGCAGAGCACGCAGTCGGCCGGCCGGGCCCGGGACTGCAGGCAGTGGCGGCACAGCCACTGGCCCTCGGGGATGTAGGGCACGCCGTAGCACTCCTGGTGCACAGCCAGGTTGCACATGTCGCAGAAGAGGATGGCGTTGCTGTTCTGGCACTCGCCGTCCATGCACACGCAGCACACGGCGTCCTCGTCGATCAGGCACTGCTGCTCCCCCTGCTTCTGCTTCTCGCAGTGCGAGGCCTTCTCGAAGCGGTCCATGAGGAACTCGAACACGCTCTGCGACACGGCCGAGACACAGTCGCCCCTGCGCTTCTCGTTGACGATCTCCAGCCAGGCGTAGTCCTCCTCGTCCATGTCGTACTCCACCTCCTTGTCCAGCTCCTCAGCCGACTTCTCCACAAACTTGTAGTACACGGGGGGCCGCCGCGGCGCCGACGGGGGGCTGTACTCCACCACCCGCACCTTGGGCTCGGGGAGGGCGCTGGCGGAGGCAGGCGCACCGTGGGCGCTGGGCGGGGCGTCGCCCTTCTTCCTGACCCGGTTGTTTTTGTGCCGCTTAGTTCTCAGGCACACGGGCGGCCGCTCGCTGTTCTCCTTGTTGCTGTTGCACTCGCTCATCTCCTGGGCGGTGAGGTCATCCTCCAGGATGATCTCCAGGGGGTCGAAGATGCTGATCCTGTGCAGGCGCCCCTCGATCTCGATCTCCACCATCCTCTGGGCTTGCGCGTAGGTCAGGGTCTCTCGAGTGGGGGAGGGCTTGGTGCTGCCGGGGGAGGAAGGGTGCCTCGCTGCAGCGCGATGACCGCGGCCTTTCCTCCTCATTTGGCACTGACTCCCTGAAACGGACAGAGAACACATGAGCACCACGCAGAAAGCGTGAGAGGCGAAAACCACCAACACACGTGGGCAGAACTAACCAACTTGCACTAAATCAAAACAGAACTCCCAGCCAGCCTGCTCTGAGGTTTCCAAAATCACTCATCCTGGACTCCCGAAGATATCTCAACAACCATCAACGACCATTGCCACCAGGCCCCTGACCCCCCAGGGACTCCCAGGACCAGAGGAGAAGGCAGGTGGTCAGGAGGGCCCCCAGAGGCACATGCAGGAACATGTCCTCCAGAATGCTGACGCCTACTGCTCACTGATCACCTTGGAACCACACCCCTCACAAGTCGGGGGTCGCAGTCCCAAGCCCAGGATAGTACGTGCACAGACCTGCACACCCGTAGGCTCTGGCCACTGTCTGACCCCCGCTGCTACCCAGGAGAGAGCCCTCAGCCCATCACTGTCTCCATGAACACACCCTCCAGCACCGTGTGGAGGCGCAGGCCACCCAGCCGCACCCGGACCCAAGAGGGCAGCCCCATGCTGGCCTGGGCAGGCTTCACCCCTAGGAGACCCCACCCAGCCTCTGCAGGGCCTCAGAAGTGGCCACCGCACGCCCGCCACCTGCCCTGCCCCTCGGGGGCCTTCTCAGCTGCTGGCTTGACCACAGTGCTGGGCCGCCGTCCTGTCACAGCGAGGGCAACCCGGAGACCCCCTCGCCGCCCAGAGTGCCCCTCCTCTGTACCAGGCGCAGCACAGGCTCAGGCGCCTTAAGCCTCGGCCAAGGAGACTTTCGGGCATTTGCTCCTGTCAGACGTCCGCCACCGACCACGGGCAAGTTCTACTTCCAGTCTCCCTCTCCCGACAGTCCCTGACTCTGGTCCACCACCCGCCAATCAGGATGACACCTTAGGAACTGATGACAGTGCCCCCTCCTCCCTGCAAAGAACCACACACCACTGCCAGGAAGCAGAGTGATGTTGGCGAGACTGGCTGACACAAGCCAGGCGGAGCCCAAGGCCCACCGCTGGACAAGGCCCTGGGGAGCTGACCCAGGAAAAGCCGTCATACGGCGGCCTACGCTGTCACACCTGAAAGGAAACTGCAGCAGACCCAAAAGGCACTCTTTAAGACAAGTCCTTCTGACTGTGGTTTTCCTTCTCTTTTGTCAAACAGAAATGTTTATCTGAAATCTGACAAGAATGCCCTACAAAGAGGAGCATGAGAGCCACCATGGACAAACCAACCCTAACCCACCTGCATCTCCGCATCCCAGGGGCCCACATAGCCCTGGATTCCTGGAGTGCAGTCAGCCAAGCTGCCCCCCGGCTGGCCCTGGCCCTGCCATCCCTTCTGGGGGAGAGGGGGACAGTCCCCCTGCTGTCAGCACCACAGCCTGCAAGGAAGGCCCCCTGCAAGTGCAGTCGGGACACAGCGCGCAGCCTCAGGGGTCCTTCAGGGTGGGTCAGAAGCCACAGTTGGTTACTCAGCACATGAAAGGCAAACGTGTAATTTTCTCCTCCAGAGCACAGTACCAACAGCACTAACCATAACCAGCTCTTCAAAACCCATATGCTCCTGAAGGGACTGAGGCTTTGTATCTGGCCACTTGCTACAAGAAGGACAGCACTTACTGGTCACGGCAGCTCTGCAATCTGAAAGCTCCATGGTGACAGGGACAGAAGGCGCAGGTCACTCTGCAGACCACCTCACCAGCCCACCATTCCCCTACACCCCAGGCTCCAAACCGTCAACCTCTGTCCACCTGGAGCTTCCGTGCAGGACAAAGGTTCCCACGTGGAGACCATCGGCAGCCCCTCCAGACCCTTCTGATAAATGCCCCTTGAAAAGCCGTGCGGCCACGAGAGAGGAACGCGGCACCCAGGGCCGGTTCACCTTCCCCATCACCGCCTTTCCCGCCTGGCCCTGGGACAGTCACGAACACCCTCGCGCAGGGGCGGCACACGGCGCCTACCCCCGCGACCCTTCCCGGGCGGTGGGCGGCTCCTCCAGCGGGGCCCGGCCGCAGCGCGTGCCCCATAAATTACAACCAGGTCACTTCTTCCTGGGGGCCCGGAGGCCGCCCGCTGCGGGAGGGGGCGGCCGCCCGAGTCCGCGCGGCCCTGGAACAGGAAGTTTCCCGTCCAGGCTCAACAAGCCCAGCGCGTCCGTTACATAACGCGACCCTCGGGCAAACGCTCGGCCGGGGAAGCCGAGACCTCGGGGCCGCCCCTTTCTCGCAGGGCGGCCGGGCGGGAGGCGCGGCGGGCAGGGCGGCCCCGCCGCCTCCACAGCTCGGCCTCCCTCCCCGTCCAACCTCCTGCCCGCCGGCCTCGCCTCCCTCCCTGTCGAGTTCCCAAGCCGCCCGGGCTCCCTCGCCGGCCCGGCCTCCCTCCCAGGCCTCCCCGCCTCGCCAGGCCGGCCTCCCGACCGGACCTCCGGGCCTCCCCGTCAGCCGGCCTCCCTCCCTGCCGGCCGCTCAGCCTCTCCACCCGGCCCGCCCTCCCTCCCCGGCCTTACAGCATCCCGACCGGACCCCCAGGCCTCCCCGCCTCGCCGCCGACCTCCCCGGCGGCCGGCCTCCCTCCCCGCCGGCCCCCCGGCCTCTCATCCCGGCCGACGTCCCTCCCCGTCCAGCCTCCCGCCCGCCGGCCTCGCCTCCCTCCCTGTCGAACTCCCAAGCCGCCCGGCCTCCCGACCGGGCCTCCGGGCCGCCCTCCCCGGCCTGCCGCTCGCCGGCCCCGGCCTCCCCGCCGCCGCCCCCACACCGCGGCCTCCCCGGGCCCCGCCGCCCGCGGACAATGCGTCGCCGCGGCGGCCCCAAACATGGCGGCGGCCCCAGCACCGAGAGGTCGGCGGCGGCGGCCCGCGGGCGAGGCGGGCGAGGCGGCGGCCCCGGCCCCGGCCCCGTTCCGCCCGGCGCACTCACCTTCGGGGCCGCGGCCGCGGGAGCCGGGCGGCGGGCGCGGGGGCCGGCGCGGCCGAGGCGGCGCTAATGGCGCCCGCGGCTCCTCCGCCAACGGCCGCGCAGGCCCGGCCCGCCGCCGCTCTGGGCGCGGGCTCCTGGCGGCGGCGGCCCGGCCCGGCTCGGCGCGGCGGCCGCGGGCTCGCGGGCGGCGGCTCGCGCGGGCGGCGGGGCCGAGCAGAGGCTCGGCGCGGGAGCCCGGCCGGCGGGCGGCGGGCGGCGGCGGCGGCAGCGGCGGCGGCGCGACGGGGCGCTGGCGCGGGGCTGCTCGGACGCCAGGGCCGGCTTGCTCGCCCGCTCGCTCCCCAGCGAAGCAAACAATGCGGCGAGCGCTCCGCCCGGCGCGCTGCGTGCGAGACGCGCCCCGCCCGCCGCCGCCGTGACGCGCGGCCGCCGCCGGGGGAGGGGACGGAGGGCAGCGCCGCGCGCCGACGCTCGGGCAGGGGGCATCTGAGGGGCGCGGGCTTCAGGGGAGGGGCCGTCGGGCGGGCGACGGGGACCGCACACGGGTCGGGGGGCATCTGAGGGGCGCGGGCTTCAGGGGAGGGGCCGTCGGGCGGGCGACGGAGACCGCACACGGGTCGGGGGGCATCTGAGGGGCGCGGGCTTCAGGGGAGGGGCCGTCGGGCGGGCGACGGGGACCGCACACGGGTCGGGGGCATCTGAGGGGCGCGGGCTTCAGGGGAGGGGGGCGCGGACACCGGGCCTGGGGGCATCTGAGGGGGTGCTGGGCGGGGGAGCCTGGGAGGGGAGCGGGAAGGGGATGAAGGGGGCCGGTCCAGGAGTCGGGAGCACTGGATGGGGCGGCCCCGCTGAGTGTTGGGGGAACCTTGGGGTGGTGGGTGCCTGCCGGGGGTTGGGGGGCGAGGCACAGGACGGAGGGAACCCGGTGAGCGCCCGATGGACACGGGCCGAGAACCACGGGCAGCCGGGAGGGCCGTGTGCTGGACGGCCGGGCCTCGGTGGAGACCAGGGGCCACGGGTACTGGCAGGGGCAAGGAGCCGGGGAGCCCTGAGGAACTGGAGTGGGGGTGTGGGGCGCCTGGGATGGGAACACCCTCTGTGGGATCCAGGTAGGGCCTGAGCAGCGCTAGTTCAGAGGCCTGAGGGTTAGCCAGTTAGTCCCCACTGGCAGCTTCCACTGTGGCCTTGGCTTGAACTCCAAAATTCAATGGTTTCACGATAGTTTTCATCTCCAGAATGAGTCCCCAAGTGTTTGGGGAGGGGGAAGAGGCCTGGCTGTTTCCCTGAGGATTTGGCCATGAAGGAGCCCAGCCCTGCCGGGGGGTGAAGCAATTAATAGCCCCCCTGTCTGTGGCAGCCAGGAAGGCCCCCGTGTAAGAGAAGAAACACGCTCCCAGGGCAGAGCCTGGGTTCTTCAGAGCCCCAGGAGACCTTCTTCCACGTGAGCAGGCAGGGCAGGGACCACTGCTTAGGTTCTTGCGGCAAACACTTTATTGGCAGTAGGCTGGCCCTGTCCACCCACGCGTGCTGGTGGGGGCCTTTTGCTGACCAGAATTTGTGCACCCAGTGTGCAGATTGAAAAGTGAAAGCTTGGTGGGTGGCTAAGGACTGCCGGGAAGGTCACCCACCCAGTGATCAAGTTCCTAAGCAAACTCCAACCTCCAGACACGTCCTTGGGCCAAGGTGAGGCAGACCCAGCAGTGGGCCCCGATTACATTTGCACCAGATGCAGGAGCCGCGCCCACGTCCTCCTCTCTTACAAATGTCCGCTGTCTGGGTCCAGATGTGTGGGAGCAGCAGAGGAGAATAAGCACCCTTGTCCACCCTGGGCAAGCCAGGTGCCAACAGGAAGCTGGAGACAACCTTGTGAAAGAACAGAGGGGAAACAGAGAGCCCGGGAGGAAGGCTTCTCCACCACCAGAGTGACGCCAGGAGTGAAGGCATGTCCTAGTGGCCTTCTGGAATTCCAAGGATGAAGAGACTAGCTCAAAAACCTTCAGTGGGGAAGGGTCTTCTTTAATCAGGTGGAACCTGATTGTCAGTTGGCAAAGGAGCGAGCCTGTCAACATTCTCAGAGAACTGAACCTAAAATTCTGTACACAGTGAAACTAGCATTCAAGTGAGACAGCAAAATAAAAGTGTCTTCACACCTATAAGCATCCACACACCAAGTCTCTCAAAAAGGACTGAAAGATACGCCCTAGAAAATAAAAACTGAAACCAAGGGTAAAACCTTGATGCCACAAAGAAACCAGCTTAGACTGTTCAGGGAGACTCAAACAACGACTTGAGAGAAAGTCCCACGTGAGACCGGGACTATGGGAAGAGGACGGAGGAGCAGGAAGGAGGCCCAACCGACGGCTCTTGTATCACAGCCCTGAGTGCTAACTGGAAGGACTGATGCTGAAGCGGAAGCTCTGATACTTCGGCCACCTGATTCGAAGAGGGACTCATTGGAAAAGACCCTGATGCTGGGAAAGAATGAGGGCAAAAGGATAAGGGGGTGACAGATGGTTGGAGGGCATCACTGACTCAATGGACATGAGTTTAAGCAAACTCCAGGAGACAGTGAAGGACAGGGAAGCCTGGCATGCTGCAGTCCATGGGACCAAGAAGAGTCAGACATGACTTAGCAACTGAACAACAAAAAAATTTTAGAATCAAAAGGAAAAAAGTCTAAAATTCCAAAGTTTCCGTGAGAAAAATGGAAATAGGACTTGCAGATTTCAAAACAGCCAGGAGAAAACTGAAGTGAAAAATTGTGCCAACAAAAAGCAGAAAAGAGAAAAAAGATGATAAATGAGGAACACAAAATTAGATGACAGGAATAAATTCAAACATCTGAGTAATCAGAGACATGATGGAATTAAAATCATCTATTAAAACACAGAGACTCTCTAATTAGAATGTTGACACAGTTAAATACTAATTATGAGGAACACACCCCAAAAACGTCACCAAGATTGAAAATAAAAGGGTGGAAAACATGTATCTTGCAACTTTTGTTCCTCAGAAGACCATAAGGAGAATGAAGAACTGAAAACTAGAAGATATTTGTGACACAAACACCTTGCAAATGATTTATATCCACAATAAAGAACCCTCCAAATCCATTAGAAAAGACAAGCCAAAAGAATGATGGGCACGTCTATCATCAGTCTCAGAGAAGATCATGGAAAAACCTCACTGGCGATTTTGGAAATACAAACTAAAACCACACCAAATGAACACAAACCCTGCTGGCCAGAACTCCAGGTGACACAATTATCTTGTAAACGATGTGGCATTCTTCAAAGAAACTGGGTGTGTGCGTCAGCTAGCCATTGCCGCATAACAAACCACCCCCATACTAGGCAGCTTCAAACAACAACAATCACTCCTTTCACTCAGGAATCTGCTACTTGTGAGAGATTTCAGCAGCACTGCTCCTTGCTGCACCCCTGGTGCCTCCTGGAACATCCAGCACCTGTGTGCCGGACAAGCTGGCTCCTGCTGTGGGCTGACCGCCTGGGGGAACGCCCTCAGGGGAGGGTGGCCAGGTTCCAAGAGCAAGAGTCCCGAGAGAACCAGGTGGCCCCGTATCACTTTTCAGACGTCATGTAGCATCCCTTTTCCACAAAGCTGACCCGATTCGGTAGATAGGGGGACAACGACTCCTACTTCCTGTGAAAATCAGTATCAGGGTCACATTTTAAGCAGAGCATGTGGCAGGGAGAAGTGACTGTGGCGTTTGGGAAAATGCAAGCTGCCAGGGTATGCACACCTGTTCCCAGCGCTAGGGTTCAGTCAACAGATACTCCTGGGGACGTCCCATGCCTGGCCGCATGCCAGAGAAACCTGCACCAACCCATCAGGCGACCGGGCAACATTTTCAAAGCAGCACTACTTTTAAGAGCAAAAATACTGCAAAGTGAAAGTGTTAGTCGCTCAGTCGTGTCCAGCTCCTTGCGACTCCATGGACTGTAGCCCATCAGGCTCCTCTGTCCATGAAATTCTCCAGGCAAGAGTACTGGCGCGGGTTGCCATTCTCTTCTCCAGGGGATCTTCCCAACCTAGGGATCAAACCCAGGTCTCCTGTGTCTCCTGCATTGCAGGCGCATTCCTTACTGCTGAGCCACCACGAAAGCCCAGGCCATCAGGGAAGCTCCCCATTAGACGCATCGAGCTTGGCTCAGCTCGGGCTACATCCCTGACCCTCCGGTCCACAGCCCTCCCTCCCCAGCCCACCCCATTCTATCTTTGCTGAAAGCTTAGGCCTGACAAAGGCAAGGAGCCCGTATCGGTGTTACTCTGTAATGTTCTATCGACATTTTTTGGCAGGAGTAAGATTAAAATCCTTCTTCTTGATCTACCTCTAACCTTTCATTTAGTAGACTGTGCTTTTGCAAACAAAATATTCTTTAAATGATATTTTCTTACTTTGGAATTCAGGGAAAATCGTTTTTACCCACAATTAAATTCCAAGAGAAATCTAGTTATTTGCATAGGTTCCATAGAAATCAGTTCTCTTTTTTACCAGGATGTAATTAGACAAATGGAGAAAGAAATGGCAACCACTCCAGTGTTCTTGCCTGGAGAATCCCATGGACGGAGGAGCCTGGCGGGCTGCAGGCCATGGGGTCGCAAAGAGTCAGACACGACTGAGTGACCGACACTAATTAGACAAAAGGACTGTGCCGCCATGGCCTGACATGGGTGTCACATTTGAGAACACGTCTCCTGTGATTCGGGATGACCCGTCCATCTCCGGAACCGGGGTTGTAGCCTCTGCGATGAACCAGTGCCCACAGGCCCACAGCAGGGCCTGAACGATGGTGTGCCAGGGTTCCGCTTCGGATGCAGTCAGGCAGATGGGAACTGTGCCCAACCCCTAGGTCCTTGTGAAGAAAGAAACTCACCCACATGCACAGGTGTTGCAGGCAAGAGAAATTTGAATCTCAGGTGTGCTAGAGACTCAACCCCACATTCCTGGTGAGGACATCTCCAGACAGAAGTGGATTTTCCAGCCTTGGTTGTTAGGTAACCCCGTGTGGCTTAGCTGTGCCAGCCCAGCAAGGAGGTGCAGATGTGTTAATTACCACTCCTTTCAGCACCTGTGTAGGTGAGTCAGGTCCAAACACAAAAAGACTGGCTTTCTGTGAGGAACCACCTTTGGAGAAGATGTATCCTCATGGCGGGGGGGACTACTTAAAAATTTCCAAAGCATGAATGAGCGAGAGGATAGCGGTGGGTCCATTTGCTGGGAGGCTGAGTGTGCTCTGGCAGACCCGCCAGGGCACGTTTTGATTCTCGAGGGTGTGTATCTGTTTTACTTGCTGTTTACTATTGACTATGATTTTTAATAACTCAGAAAAGGTAGATTTTAACTGGCAGAAAATGGATGGGTAGGTATTGAGATTCTTGTCTGATAGCAATGCAAATGAATTTTCCCAGTGGTGATAGAATTTATTTCTGCAGAAAAGGTTAGTTGGAAGAGGTTGCAGTTTTACAGCCCCGTAGAACATTAACCAGGTTTTAATCTAAATCAGCGCGCTTACTCAAGCAAGCTTTTTTTCAGTCACTCACTACACATCCTTCTCTCTCTCCAGGGTTTTGAACCAGCCTCAGCATTACACTGGTTTCCTCATTAACGAAGTAACTAAATTTTGGACACATCCTCACTTCAGAGCTGGGGAGTCGTATTCTTAACTTTTGGAAATCACAGTTGGGCAGCTCCGTATCTCTTTGCCTCCTCAGCATCTCCACTAAGACATGTAACAGACGCCCCTAACCAAACACGCCTGACGCCCGGCTCCTGACCTCCGTCCCCAAACTGCTCCCCTGGTGTCTCCCGATCTGTTACAGGTTGGATTGTGTCCCCCCCACAGAGATAGATTGGCACCCTCACGCTCAGTACCTGTGGACGTGACCTTGCTTGGAAATAGGGTCCCTGCAGGAGATCGAGGTCACTGGGGGGCCCGAGCCCATGAGCGGTGTCCCCACAAGCAGAGGGAACTGTGGACGCAGACTCCAGGGGCGAAGCCCACGAGACCACAGAGGCAGAGGCTGGAGGGACGCGGCTGCCTGCCCAGGAACGCCAGGAGTGACCCCCCAGAGCAGGAAGAGGCGGGAAGGATGCTCCCGACAGGCTTCGGGGGGGGGGGAGGCAGCCCCCGACACCTGACCTCAGACATCCCGCCTGCAGGGCTGGAAGATGACGCGTCTCTGGGGTCGAAGCCTCAGAGCCGCCGGGTCTGTGGCGCTTTGTCAGGGCGCCTGGCATACTAATGCATCTTCTCAGGTGGTGGTGACTCCACGCCTCCTGAGAGGTGCTCCTGCTGCTCATGTCTGTTCTTGTCGTTCAGCTGCCAAGTTGCATCTGCCTCTGTGAGCCCGTGGACTGCAGCATGCCAGGCTTCCCTGAGCCATCCCCGAATCCCGCAAGCTGCCCTCGGAGGCATCGGGAACCAGCCCAGTGTCTCCGCCCCTGCTGCGACCCGGCGCCAGGCTTTCCTCTCTCACCTGTGTCGTCCAGGCGTCCCAACCGGGCTCCCGCCGCCGCGGCATCGCTGTAGCTCTTCTCTGCACCGCAGCCCACGTGATGCCATCACCCCTGTGCTCGGAACCTCCCGGTGGCTCCGCAGTCTCTCTCAGAATAAAAGCCAAAAAATAACCAGATGAAAGAATGGACAAACAAACTGAATAAACACTTGCACGGAGAAGCCCTGCAGATGGCCAATGAGCAGACGAGAAGATGCCCGGCATCCCGGGGCCAGCTTCCAGTGAGGGGGCACGGGCTCCATCGCTGGTCCCGGAAGATTCCACATGCCCCGCACCGCTCCCGTGCCCACGCACCTCGATCCTGTGCTCACAAGAGAAGCCACGGGAGTGAGAAGCCCGTGGCCACAGTGAGGAGCAGCCCCAACTCGCTGCAACTAGAGAAAGCCTGCATGCAGCAACCCAGACCCAGCACAGCCAAAGGAACGAAGTGATTAATCTGAAAAAGACGCAATGAGATGCCACCTCACGCCCTCTAGGGTGCCCAGAATCGAAAGTTAGGGGACTCCCCTCACAGCCCAGTGGTTAGGGCTCCAACCTTCCAGTGCTGGGGCCAGGGTTCAGTCCCTGATTGGGGAACTAGGATCCTGCAAGCCGTGTGGCAAAAAAAAAATATCAGATAATAACAAGTATTGGTGAGGATGTAGAGAAGTTGGAACCCTCTTGCATTGCTGGTGGGATTAAAAAATGCTACAGCTATTTTGGAAAACAGCTGGGCAGTACCTCAGTAATTCCACTCCTAGGTATGTGCCCAAGAGGAAGGAAAACACAGGTACACACAGAACATGTACATGAACATTCAGAGCAGTGTTGCTCACAATAGCCAAGAGGTGAAACAAACCAAGTGTCCATCAGTGGATCAATGCATAAATGTGTGTCCATGCATGTTGCTGCTGTTGTTCATTCAGTCGTGTCCGACTCCTTGTGACCTCGTGGACTACAGCACGCCAGGCTTCCCTGTCCTTCACCATCTCCTGGAGCTTGCTCAAACTCCACTGAGTCGGTGATGTCATCGAACCATCTTATCCTCTGTCATCCCCTTCTCCTGCCTTCAATCTTTCCCAGCATCAGGGTCTTTTCCAATGAGTCAGTTCTTTGCATCAGGTGGCCAAACTATTGGAGCTTCAGCTTCAGAATCAGTCCTTCCAATGAATATTCAGGACTGATTTCCTTTAGGATGGACTGCTTGGATCTCCTTGCTGTCCAAGGGACTCTCAAGAGTCTTCTCCAACACCACAGTTCAAAAGCATCAATTCTTCGGCACTCAGCTTTCTTTATGGTCCAACTCATATCCATACATGACTACTGGAAAAACCATAGCTTTGACCAGACGGACCTTTGTTGGCAAAGTAATGTCTCTGCTTTTTAATATGCTGTCTAGGTTTGTTGTAGCTTTTCTTCTAAGGAATAAGTGTCTTTTAATTTCATGGCTGCAGTCACCATCTACAGTGATTTTGGAGCCCAAGAAAATAAAGTCTGTCACTGTTTCCATTATTTCCCCATCTATTTGCCATGAAGTGATGGGACTGGATGCCATCTTATTTTTTTGAATGTGGAGTTTTAAGTTTTAAGTCAGTTTTTTCACTCTTCTCTTTCACCTTCATCAAGAGGCTCTTTAGTTACTCTTCACTTTCTGCCATAAGGAGGGTGTCATGTGCATGTCTGAGGTTATTGATATTTCTCCCAGCAGTGTTGATTCCAGCTTGTGCTTCATCCAGCTTGGTGTACATGGAGTATTAGCTTATAGTGCTCAGTTACTGAGTTGTCTCCAACTCTTTGCAACCCCATGGACTGTACCACGCAAGGCTCCTCTGTCCATGGTAGTTTTTCAAGCAGGAAATACTTGAGTGGGTTGCCATTTCCTCCTGGAGGAACCAGGGATCAAATCCACATCTCCTGCCTTGGCAGGCAGGTTCTGTACCACTGAGCCACCAGGGAAGCCTGCATGGCGTCCTCTTCAGCAATGAAAAGGAACGAGGTACTGAAATGGGCCCCAACAGGGATGGACCTTGAATAACGTTCTGCAAAGTGGAAGAGACAAAACATCACAGATCACATGACTCCATTCACATGAGATGGCCAGAACAGTCAAACCCATGGAGACAGAGGGCAGATTAGTTGTTGCCGGGGCCTGGGTCAGGCCGCGGGGTGGGGTTTCTTGGGGGAAAGAAGCTTCTTCTAAAACTGACTGTGGGAAGGACTGCGCAACCTTGTGCATAAACTAAAACTGTTGCGCTTTACTTTTTCTTTACCACACTGTGTGGCTTGTAGGACCTTAATTCCCCAGCCAGGGATGAAACCTGGGCACAGCAAAGGCACCGAGTCCTCGGCACTGGACCACCAGGGAACGCCCTTGAATTGTCCATTTCAAATGAGTGAACTGTGGGGCATGTGAATTATATCTCAATAAAGCTGTCTTCCTGATGGCTCAGATGGTTAAGCATCCGTTTACAATGCGGGAGACTTGGGTTCGATCCCTGGGTCGGGAAGATCCTCTGGAGAAGGAAATGGCAATCCACTCCAGTACTCTTGCCTGGGAAGTCCCATGGATGGAGGAGCCTGGTAGGCTACAGTCCATTGCGTCGCAAAGAGTCGGACACAACTGAGCGACTTCACTTTCACTTTTTTCACTTTCTTTCAAAGCTGTCTTAAAATACACTGAATAATCACATAAATTAAAAATCCTAACACTAGAGAGTAGATGATGAAACTTGTCTCTTCCTGCTCCTGCAACTAAATATAACTTTAAAAATTGGGAAAAGGGCTTCCCGGGTGATTCACTGGTATCTGCCTGCCAGTGCAGGAAACAGGTTCAACCCCCAATCCGGGAAGATCCCGCATGCCACAGTGGACTAAGTCCACGCGCCACGACTCCAGAGCCTGGGAACCGAAACTACTGAGGCCCCGCACCCTAGAGCCTGTGCTCTGCAAGGGAAGCCGCCGCGGTGAGACGCCTGCGCACCACAGCGAGAGAGTGGCCCCTGCTCGCCGCAACCAGGGAAAAGCCCAGCACAGCCAAAATAAATAAATAAAGAGATTACACGTTAAAAAAGAAAGAACTCACAGGAGAGGAAAACGATCCACAGATACCAGCAGTGAAATGAATCAGATGTTGTGATCATCTGACAGAGATTGTAAAGCAGCTGCCACAAAAATGCCTCTATAACCGATTACAAATTATCCTGAAACAAGTCGAAAAATAGAAAATCTTCTTGCATAGAAACAAGCTATTAAAAAGTCAAATGGAATCACAGAACTGAAAAATACGCCAAAATTTAAAACTCACTGAATGGGCTCAATAACACAATGAATATGACAGTTGAGTCTATGAATTAGAGAACAGAAGAGTAGAAATTATCCAATCTGAACAACCAAAAGAAAACAGGCCGAAGGAAAACAAACAAACAAAAATAAAAATAAAAACACAACCAAAAGCCTCTTGAAAGCAAACAGAAATGATACACTGCCTATAAGGGAAGAACGACTGGGATAACAGTGGCTTTTTTTTAATCAGAAACCACAGAGGCCAGAAGGAAGTGCCACATTTTTCAAATGCTGAAAGGAAAGGACTGTCAACCACGAATTGCGTATCTAGCGAAAAATGCGTCAGGAATGAAGGGGGGCTTCCCCGGTGGCTCAGTGGCGAAGAGTCTGCCCGCGAACGCTGGAGACGCTGGGGCACAACAGTCGCCCCTGCCGGAGACCCCACCGGCCGAAGGGCGGCTGAGCCCGCGGCCGCAGTCCTGGAGCCCGTGCTCCGCAGTCGTCCACGGCCGCGGAGCGCTCGGGCCCTCGAGCCCGTGCGCGCGGAGCCGCTGCAGGGAGAAGCCCGCGCCCGCAGCTGCAGCACGGCCCCTGCCCACCGCGACTGGAGAAGAGCGCCCGCGGCAGCGAAGGCCCGGCACAGCCAGGCATGGGGCAAGAGTACCAGAGCCTCAGCTGGCGAGGAGGAGGGAAAGCGAAGCAGCCGACAAAAGAAGGGGGCAGAGGGACTCAACTGGCTGCCAGTGGCGAGGGCTTTGCGCTCCGCCGCCAAGCGCCCAGCTTTGATCCCCGGTCGGGGAACTGGGACCTCCCTGCCACACAGCACGCCAGAACGAGAAGGAAGGGGAAACAAAGACGTCCACAGACTAAGAAAACGAAAAGAACTTGTCACCAGCAGAGCGAGCCCCAAAGAATCGCTAGAGGAGGTTCCTCAGAGACGCCACCACAAGGCTTAGGCCCCAGGAAGGTAAGGAAGACCACAGAAGGGCGAAACAGAGGGACACGCAGTAACTATTCTCATCGAGACCCTCTTACCTCACGTGGGGTGGCTGAAGCAGCACTTGTAGCACTGTCTGATGTGGCGCTAGATGTACATGTAAGAAAGACTTGGGCACGTCTAGCTTTTAAATGGGAATAGTAATGGGAGTTAAATGCAAGTAAGGTTTCTACACGTCACTCAAAGGGCTGAGATTATATTCGCAGACTCTGATAACTTGTGTTTGTGTCCTGTAATACCCAGAGAGTTGAGGAAAACTGTACAAAATGCTATACTCAAAAACACCCTTAAAAAAACAAAATGGAATTCTAAACAGTATTCAGCATCCCACGAGAAGGCAAAAAAAGAGAAAAAGAGGAGTGATTAGAGAGGAAGCAAATAGAAACCGAATGATAAAATGGCAGAGTTCAGCCTTAATATATCAAAATTTTATACATAAATGCTTTAAACACACTGAGTAAAACACACAGATTGTTAGAGTGAATTTAAAAAACCACAGCCTGCCTATACGCTGCCTACAGGACAGCAAACAATCACATAGGTAGGATAAAAATAAAAGAATGTAAAGAGTGTTAATTCAAGTATTAGCCAAAAATGTACGTGTGACCACAGTATATTATTTATTACATATTGATGCATCATTTATCATGTTATCGTTTATTATGTATTAAAATCACATAAAGTAGACTGCAGAGCAAAGAAAATTTCTAGAAACAAAGAGGAATACTACATAATGATAAAAGGATCAATCCAGTTGGAAGACATAATGATTGTAAGCATTTACACACCAAACAACAGAGTTAAAAACATATAAAGTGGGACTTCCCTGGTGGTCCAGTGGTTAAGACTTTTCCCTTCTAACACAGGGGGTGTGGGTTCGATTCCTGGATGGACAACTAAGATACATTTGCCACATGGTATGGCCAAAAAAAATACATATATACATATGTGTGTGTGTGTGTGTGTATGTGTATAGCAAAATATAATAGAGCTGAAAGAAGGAATAGCCAAATCTAAAATTATAGCTTTCGCTTAGGGACCTCCACACTCCACTGTCAGCAAATGATGGAACGTCTACACAAAGTCAGCAAAGATTTAGAAGGCAGAACCGTCACCAAGTAACAGGACCTAAAGGGCGTTTACAGAGCTGTCCATCAAACAGCAGCAGAATAAACACCCTTTTCAGGCATCCAGGGAGCACTGACCAAGACAGACCGCATCCTGGGTCACAGAACAAACTTCAACACACTTAAAAGGATTGAAATCATGCACAATATGTTGTCGGATCACGCGTGCGTGTGCTGTCTCTCAGCCGAGTCTGCCTGTTTGCGACCCCATGGACTATAGCCCGCAGGCTCCTCTGTCCATGAGAATTCCAAGGCAAGAATACTGGAGTGGGCTGCCATTCCCTTCTCCAGGGGATCTTCCCGGCCCAGGCATTGAACCAGAGTCACCTGTATCTTTTGCATTGGCAGGCGGATTTGTTACCACTGAGCCACCTGGAAAGCCCCTGTCGTCAGTAGAAGACCAAACAGAACAAAGGCTGACCTCCTGCATGCACCAGTAACTTTTCCAGAAGACTGTCTTCTGATTTCATCTGCAGCATCAGTTCTTCCTGATTCCATGGCAGACTCTCTTTGGACTTGAACTTTGACTCTTTCCTGTGTCTCCAGCCTCTCTGATCAGATCTTGGACCCACCAAGCCTCTGCAATCTCATGAGCCAATTGCTTAAAATAAACACGCACACACACATTATGTGTTGTTTCTCTGGAGAACCCTCATACAAAGCAGAAGGAAAAAGAGAAAGATAAATTAATAATATTAGGAAGAAAATAGGGGTGTTGCCACAAGCCGTGCATGCAGTGAAAGGGTAACAAGCAAATATTACGAGCAACTCTGGGTCTTCCCTGGTGGTTCAGCGCTACAGAGTCTGCCTGCTGATGCAAGAGACTCGGGTTCAGTCCCTGGTCGGGAAGGTCCCCTGGAGGAGGAAAGGGCAGCCCACTCCAGTGTTCTTGCCTGGAGAATCCCATGGAGGGAGGAGCCCGGCGGGCTACAGTCCAGGGGTTGCAAAGAGTCGGACACGACTTAGTAGCTAAACAACATGAGTAACTCTACAGACAAAATTTGACAACTGAGATGAAATGAACTAATCTCTTAAAAAACACAAACCACCACTGTTCACTCAAAATAAAACAGATGACTTAAAGAGTCATATAACTATTAATGAAGTTGAATTCATAATTTAAAACTCAAACAAGGACAGAAATCTCCAAACTTTCTGTGAAATCCCCATGGTTTCAGTGAAGACTTTTCCCAAATATTTAAACAAGAATTAAAACCAATTCTGCACAATCTCTTCCAGAAAATAGAAAAGAGGCGCATTTCCAAATTCATTTTATGAAGCTAGAATCATCTGATACCAAAACCAAATAAAGACAGTATCAAAAAGAGCACTACAGACCAAAGTCCTTCATGAACATAGACACAAAAATCCTCAACAAAGTAATAGAATTCAGCAGTGTGTAAAAATAAAAACTATACACCATGACCAAGTGGGATTTATTCCAAGGCTGCAAAAGTACTTTTATTCAAAAGTAATGTGATCTACCCTATTAACAGTCTAGAGTAGAAAAATTACAAAATTATCAATCAATTCAGAAAAAGCAGTATTCAACATCCATATATGATAAAAAAAAAAACTCAGAAAATCAGTAGTAGAGGGGAATGATCTCAACTATAACTGACATATTTCATGGTGAAAGGCTGAATGCGTTCTCCTGAGATCAGGAGCAAGGAAGCACACTGCCCCCACCACCTTCACTCAGTCACGTCCAGGCTGGAAGCGTCACCCGGTGCAGTAACCCAAGAAGGGCCGTCTCCCGCGCTCCCGTGGTTAGAGTCCGCCTGCCAATGCAGGGGGCACGGGTCCCGCCCCGGATCCAAGAAGACCCACACGCCTTGGGGCAACCAGTTTTTGTAAATAAGATAAGAAAAGGGAAAAAATGCATTTATCTCTGAAATGCAGAAATAAAACCACCTGCATTTTATTTGCAGATGACCTGATTATCTACTAGAGGATCCCAAGGAATCTATCAATAAAATTCCTAGAAATAATAAGTGAGTTCAGGCAGGTCTCAGAATACAATATAAGCATTTTTTAAAAAAATCAGTTGTATTTCTACATACTAGCAATGAACACAAGGACACTGGAATTAAAAACATAACACTATTTACAATGTTTCAGAATAAAGTTAAAACTGTGAAAATAATATACTGCTGATTGAAAAACTCACAGATCTAAATAAACATCGAGCCATACCATTTTCATGGTTAGAAGACTAAAAATAGTGAAAATGCCAGTTCTCTCCAAATGGATATACAAGATAAAACAAATCCTATCAAAATTCCAGCAAGGTTTTTTTGTAGATACAGACAAGATTATCCTCAGATGTGTACGGAATGGCAAAGCACTATAATAGCCAAAACAATGTTGAAAAGGAGCATAAAGTGGGGGACTCAGTCAGCCCAACTCTGACACCTGTGTGCGCTATGCCCATGGACAATAGCCCACCAGGCTCCTCTGTCCATGGGATTCTCCAGGCAAGAATACTGGAGTGGGTTGGCATGGCCTCTTCTAAGGGATATTCCCAATCCAGGGATCAAATCTAGGTCTCCTGCACTGCAGGCGGATTCCTTACCATCTGAGCCACAGGGAAGCCCAAGAATACTGGAGTGGATGGCCATTCCCTTCTCCAGGGGATCTTCCCAACCCGGGAATCGAACCCCGGTCTCCTTCAATTGCAGGCAGACTCTTTCCCAGCTGAGCTACCAGGGAAGCTATGGTAATCAAGACTGCGGTGTTGGTGGAGGGAACAGATGCCCAGGTCAACAGAACAAAACAGAAAAACCGGAAACAGACCCACACAAATGTGTCCAAGTGATTTCTGACAAATGTGTAAAAGTGTCTTGATGAAGGAAAGACAGACAGCCTTTTCAACCAATTGTGCTGGAGCAATTAGACATGCCTGGGCTTCCCAGGTGGCGAAGTGGTAAAGAATCCGCCTGGCAATGCAGGAGCTGCAGGATGTGGGTTCAGTCCCTGGGTCGGGAAGGTCCCCTGGAGGAGGGCATGGCAACCCACTCCCGTATTCTTGCAGGAAAAATCCCATGGACAGAGGAGCCTGGAGAGCTATAATCCATGGGGTCACAAAAGAGTGGGAACAACAACAATTAGACATGCATGGGTAGGGTAGGGGAAGGGTGGGGGAGGGAGGAAGAAGGGAAGGAAACACAAGGGTTTCACAATTTACACAAAACTCAAAATGGATCATGAGCTTTAACATAAAGCTAGAAAATTTTGGAAACGTGCAGTAGAAGATCTTTGGGGAAAAAAATAATCTTTGGGATCTAGGGCAAGGCACAAAATTCTTGACACCAAAGGCAAAACACAAAAAAGAAAGCATTGATAAAGTAGATCTCATCGAAATTTAAAACTTGCTCTGTAGGAGGAAAAGACAAGCTGCAGACTGAGAAAAAATATTTGCAAGCCGTCCATCTGACAAAGGACAAACATACAGAATGTATAAAACCCTAAAAACTCAACAGTAAAAAAAAAGGCATCCAACTTTAAAAATCAGCAAGAGATATGAAGAGACAGTTCAAGGAAAACACACACAGATGTCAATTAAGCATCTGTAGGGGCTTCCCTGGCGGTCTCCCAGTGGTTAGGATTCAATCCCTGGTTGGGGGACTAAGATCTCGCCTCGCATTAGCCTCTAAAGCACAGTGAGATATCACCCCTATTACAGTGACAGAGGAAAAAGTTAAAGACCACAACTGATGCCGGCCAGGACGTGGAGAGACGAGATCACTGATGCCTGCTAGCGGAACGTGGAAAGGTAGAACTTGGCGGTTTCCTCAGAATCCAAACATGCAGGCCCACGTGGCCCAGAAGGGACCCTCTGGGCATTTACCCCAGAGAACTGAAGACTTCTGTCCACACCCAAACACATACACAAATATTCCTAGGATCTTTATTTGGAACAGACCCAAACAGGAATTAACACAGATGTCCTTCAACTGGAGATGGCTGAGCCAACCGTGGATGCCAGAACAAAGAGTGGTCCATCCACCCCAGGGAACACTGCTGAGAAACACGGGGGATGGGCAGTGACACTCAGACCGGGCGGATGAGTCTCCAGGGAATTATCATGCTAAAGTCACTTCAGTCGTGTCAGACTCTTTGCGACCCTGTGGACTGTGTCACACCAGGCTCCTCTGTCCGTGGAATTCCCAGACAAGAATACAGGAGTGGGTTGCCATGCACTCATCCAGGGGATCTTCCAGACCCGGGGATCGAACCTGTGTCTCTTACATCTCCTGCGCTGGCAGGCGGGTTCTTTACCACTAGAACCACCTCAGAAACCCCATGCTGAGCAAAACAGCCAATCCCAAAAGGTTCCTCACCCTGGATTCCAACTTCGTTGTTGTTGCTCAGTCACTAAGTCATGTCCGACTCTTTGCAACCCCATGGACTGCAGCATGCCAGGCCTCCCTGTCTATCACTGTCTCCCAGAGTTTTCTCAGAATCATGCCCATTGAGTCAGTGATGCCATCCAACCATCTCCTCCTCTGTCGTCCCCTTCTCCTCCTGCCTTCAATCTTTCCCAGCATCAGGGTCTTTTCCAGTGAGTCAGTTCTTCACATCAGGTGGCCAAAGTATTGGAGTTTCAGCTTCAGCATCAGTCCTTCCAATGAACACCCAGGACTGATTTCCTTTAGGATGGACTGGTTGGATCTCCTTGCTGTCCAAGGGACTCTCAAGAGTCTTCTCCAACACCACACTTCAAAAGCATCAGTTCTTTGGCACTCAGCTTTCTTTTTGGTCCAACTCTCACATCCATACATGACTACTAGAAAAATCATAGCTTTGACTAGAGGGACCTTTGTTGGCAAAGTAATGTCTCTGCTTTTTAATATGCTATTAGGGTGGTCACAGCTTTTCTTCCAAGGGGTAAGCATCTTTTAATTTCATGGCTGCAATCACCATCTGCAGTGATTTTGGAGCCCAAAAAATAAAGTCTGTCACTGTTTCCATTGTTTCCCCATCTATTTGCCATGAAGTGATGGGACTGGCTGCCTTGATCTTAGTTTTCTGAATATTGAGTTTTAAGCCAGCTTTTTCACTCTCCTGTTTCACCTTCATCAAGAGACTCTTTAGTTCTTTGCTTTCTGCCATAAGGGTGGTGTCATCTGAATATCTGAGGTTGTTGATATTTCTCCCAGTCATCTTGATTCCAGCTTGTGCTTCATCCAGCCTGCATTTCTCATGATGTACTCTGCATATAAGTTAAATAAGCAGGGTGACAATATATAGCCTTGGTGTATTCTTTTCCCAAATTGGAATCAGTCCATTGCTCCATGTCTGGTTTAACTGTTGCTGCTTTACCTGCATACAGGTTTCTCAGGAGGCGGGTGAGGTGATCTGGTATTCCTATCTCTTTAAGAATTTTCCACAGTTTATTGTGATCCACAGTCAAAGGCTTTAGCGTAGTCAATGAAGCAGAAGTAGATGTTCTTCTGGAATTCTCTTTCTTTTTCGATGATCCAACAGGTGTTGGCAGTTTGATCTAAGGAACACTAAAATGACAAGCTTTTGGAAGGGAGTTGCCTTTCCTGGGTTTTGGGACGAGGTGGGGCAGTGTGGTTATAAAAGGACAAAATAACAATCATTGGTGGGACTCTTCAGTGTCTTGATGGAGATTTCTCAAACCAACCTGGCTGATAAAACTGTATAGAACTTACCACACACACACAGACACACACACACACACACACAAACACACACACATACAAGTGAAACAAAACTAGGGGAACCAGAACACGACCAGTGGCTGTACCAGCACCCCCATCCTGGATGGGATCTTCACTTTCAGTTTATAAATGCTGCTTACTCCTGGGGAGCCCTGGCTACGGCGTCCTAGGGCACCCCTGTATCATTTGTCAGAACTGCAAGTGAACCTCTAGTTATCTCAGTAACATTTTCATAAAAAATAAAACAAAATCCAGTGCTAGTACTGTTTTCTGACGAAATGACCAAAAGGCAAACAGCATGAGCACCCCGTGCTCCTCAGAAACTCTTGCCGCCCGGGGTCGGGACGGCTGGCCTCCTCCCACACCACGCTCAGCGTTAACGTGACCTGCAGAGCCATCATCCGTGTGTCCATGTGGAAGGAGCTATTCTGTTAAGTGAAAAGAGTCGATTTGAGAAAAGTACATATAGTAATAAAATTTTAATCAACTGCCTTGTATGTAAAACCTGGGCCAGATATCTAACTGTTTTCAAAGTCATCCTTTGGCGGGGGTGTGATCATACACAGTTCTCCATTTTCCTTTCAGTGTTGGCTGGGCTGTTAACAGGGATGGTCCTCCTGTTAAGATTGGGCTTCTAGATGAAATACAGTTCACCCAGTTACATTTTAAATCAGATAGACACAACTTTTTAGATCTGCTAAATCTAGAAATCCTAGTTACCCACATAAACCCCGAGTTATTTCTACCTTGGAAAATAAAACAGAGCCAGTCATCACGGACAGGTGCCTGACGTCTGGGGCCGGCGCCTGAGCCCACCCGAACCCTCCGCCCGGTCAGGGCCTGCTCCCACCTGGGCATGCCTCCCCAGGCCCTTCATTCCACACACTCCCACTGAGGACACCTGCTGGGATCGCCTCAGCTCTAAAACCGCAGCCTCTCCATGGGGCCTCTTCCTTCCTGGCCCGTGCCCACAGCCCCAGGGCCTTTGCATCTGAACACCCCGTGTGCCCGCCCCAGCCCGCCGTAGCTCTTTCTCCTGACTGCGGCACTTACTGCCGCTATGTTTCCCTGCCCCTCCCCACAAAAACGGTAAGTCCAGTTCTGTTCCCCCGCACTCCAGTCTCAGCGCGGTCCCCACCACCTGCGAGGCGCCCCACCTGCAGCTGCTCTCCAGGGCCTCCCTGAGTCCTGCCTCTCTCTCCGACGGCCCTCGGAGTGCCTCCTGTAGAGACCAGGGCCCCCTCGCTGACTGCCCCGCGCCCCGAGTGGTCTTGCGAGCACGGCCGCCCCAGCCCTTCAAGCCGCCTCTTCTGCAGCCCAGGACGCGGCCAAACCCCGGCGGGGAGCCCCAGGAGCCCCTGCGCCTCAGCGGCGCCCCCTCGCCCTCACCTTCTCAGGGGCTGGGCGGTCCTACCCTTGGGCCCCCACCTGCGCGGGCCCCCACGGCCTTCTAAGCAAGAGTGCAGGGCTGGGGGGGCACGTGGCAGACACGGCTCCCCCCCACCCCCCACCTCTGGGTCCCTCTCCGCCCCGTCCAGGGAAGCTGGCGCCGCCGTCACTCCAGCGTCTCGGGAAGGGCAGCCAGGCCCCCGGCGATGCCGGCTCAAGGTTCGATGGGCCCCAGGCTGTCCCGCCGTCAGTGAGGCCTCAGGGTCAGTGTTCCTGGCGCAACCGCCCTGCGCTCGGGCCCCCGGACCACTCACTTCTGGCCTTCACTCCCCAGGCTGGCAGACCCACGACAGCAGCATGGCCTCCTATGCAGAGTCAAGGACCACCCGGGGTCCCTGTGAGGTCCCGGGGGTTCAGTGCACGCCCCGGCAGCTCCTCAGCCCCAAAGGAGGACGGCCTTGCCCTGCCCTGGGCCCCCTCCGCCCAGAGGAAAACCACGGGAAGCCGCCGACAGCAGGTCACGAAGTGACGATGAAAAACGCCGAGGCGTGGAGAAGTGGAAGCCGCAGAGGTGCTTCCTTTCAGCCCCACTCCCGGCTTCGCCCACCCCAGGAGGCCACGGGGGTCCTGGGGGGTACCTGGGTTCCAGTTACCTGCGTGGGGGTGGTACTGGGACCTGCCCCCTCCCCCTGGCTTCCTGGGACGTGGAGCCTGGAGCAGGGCAGGCGCGAGGCTGTGGGAAGGCAGGCAGGCGGGCTCTGGGCGGTGGGCACTGGACTCAGGTCTGCAGCCTTGACGGGCTTCCCTCCCACCCCAGTCTCGGTCCCTCGGCAGCCCAGACCCAAGCATGGGGGCTCACTCTACCCCCCACCACTCGTCCACCCCCAGGCCCCCCTTGCATCCCCCCAAATCCCTGAGGACATCACCCCCACTGGAATGGGCGACCACAGAAACCTCCCCACCCCAGGCTGCCCATTGCCCCCTGGGCCTCCAGTGTCCCCGCACCCCTCCTCCCAAACTGCAAACGCGCCAACTCCTGGGGGGCTGGGGCAGGTGCAGGGTGGGGAGGGCCAAGCCCCCCCAGGTGAGGAGGTGGGGTCAGTGTGCAGAGTGACTCCGGGGTCCAGTTCAGAAGAGCCGTGTGGGGCCCCCAGGTGACCCGCTGATGCCTGCCTGGAGAGGGTGGTCCGCGGAGGGATTCCCAAGCCCCCGCCCACCCGGGCCCAGAGCAAAACCTGAGACCTGGACAAACTCCCCAGCGCCCTCCTGTCCGATCCACCTCTGACATGGGGGGCCGCTGCTCGGCTCCCAGACCTCGTGTGACCCTTCTGTGCCCTGCCGGCTCCGCCCCCTCTGGGACGCCCCGCCTCCAGCTCCAGTCCTCCTCCCCAGAGGAGCAAGGATGTCACCGTCTGCCTGGGGTGGAGGTGGTGCTCCCAGGGACAACGGGGACAACGTGGACAACGCGGTGAGGGTCTGGTGGGTGCTCAGCACCCAGAGCCGCCTCCTGCAGCCGGACGGCTGCCCTTCCCCCTGGGCCCGCCTGGGGTCTCCTCACCTGACCTGCTGGCAGTTTTCCCCTCCTGCACACACACACACACACACACACACTCACAGCATTCCTGCTGCCCTGAAGGGAAGGCAGGGACATGTGATGAGGACAACGGAGGGGCCCATTTTCAAGGTCCCGGAGCCACAAAGACCTGCACCCCAGGAAGAGGGAACCGTGGACTCTGGGACTCAGCCAGAGACAGGCGGGTGTCTGCCCCAAACCCCTATGCAGATGGGGCTCCACAGCACAGCCCCCCTCACTTCAGGCCCAGCCATCAGGACCCTTGATGTGGTCACCAGGGCCGGGCGCCCAGCAGCTTCCACACGTGACACCATCAACCTCACGTCCCCTGAGCTGGGCTTGGAATCAGCGTGGGGTGAACCCCTTCCAAGGACCACAGTGCAGCCCGTGTGGGCAGAGAGCCACCAGGGCGCTGCAGGTCAGCCCGGCCTTGGCCTCGCTGGCCTCAGAGCGGGTGGCTGGTCGCTCTTTATTCCTAAGCATGGACCGCACACCGCGGCCAGCACCGGGCAGGAAACGTAACCCTCCCTCTCTCCTGGGGCCTCGAGTCTGTGCTCAGAACTCAGATAAAACACAGGCGCTCACGCTTGTCTCGTTTGAGTCCAGCATCTTGGGCTCACAGCAAGTGCTCATCCAGGGTTTGGTGCATGAATGGCCTGCAGCTGTTGACAGGGTCATGAGGTGGCCCGAGTCACTGGGACGGTCCGGTTTACGGTGGTGCCAGTCTCGGGAGTGCCGTGCCCCACCTCAGGCCCGTGGTGCCCCATCTGGGCATTTACGTTTTGTTGCTGTTATTCAGCCCCTCGGTCGTGTCTCTTTGTGACCCCACGGACTGTAGCATGCCAGGCTTTTCCGACCTCCACTGTTCAGAGTTTTCTCAGATTCATGTCCATGGGGTCAGTGAGATATGAGACAAAAACCCTTCCTGGAAGAGGTCAGAGCAGGCACATCCGGCCAGGCTGCAGGTGGGAGAAGCGCACACAGACAAAGGAGGGAGGGGGAACTGGTGAGGCCCTTGGGGAGCGGTTGTCGTCACCGGCCAGGGGAACCTTTTACATCCATTTCAGATCAGTGCTGGCACTCGCAATCAGCCCACCCATCAAGATGCAGGGAACTGGGCACTGCCCATCATCCCACAGGAAGAGCAGGCCCTGGCCCCTGGAGCGCTCCTTCCACCCTGAGAGGCTGACCACGAACAGGTCAATGTCAGAGGTGAATGAGGCTGGGAGACGGGGGTGGGGGTTACTGCTCTGTAGGGAAAGACCATAAGGAGCTATGCCCCCCCCTCCAGATGACATCTGGGCAAAGATCTGCAGAGGTGAAGGGCGAGACAGGCAGCCGTGTGGGGAGAGCATTCCAGTTCAGGAAGAGTCAGTGCAGAGGCCCTGGGGTGCGGCCCAGGAGACCACCTGGGCTGGAGCGGAGTCAGCGAGCGCAGGCAGGCGGCAGGAGCTGGGCAGTGGGCACCACCACCAAGCTTTTAAGATCCAGCTTTGACCATGAGACAGCAGCCCCCGTGAGGCAGTCAGTGGAGGAATGACAAGCCGTGGGACCAGGTAAGAGGTTGCCCGTTCATCTAGGGCACGAGCTCATGACTTCTTCCGCAAAGGGCCAGAGAGCAAATACTCCTAGCCTTGCCTGACATGGGGTCTGTGCCCCAGCTCCTCAACATGGCCTGAGTGGTGAACACAGCTGGAGGTGGCCCATGAAGCAGAGGTTTCCCCTCTGTTCTGAGAAAACTCCAGTCAGGACACTGACATTTGAATTTCACAGAATTTTCATGTCATGAAATATTCTTTTTTCTTCCCAGCCATTGAAAACTGAAAAAACATGCTTAGCTTGGGGTCAAATAAAAAACGCTGGCGGCAGGATTTAGACCGCAGCCATCCTTTACTGTCCACCCGCCAGCCCCCAGCTTTACAACAGACCTCCACCACCGTCCTGGGCCAGACAGAACCCAGCAGCCACTGGGGTAGGAGAACAAAAGGAACAAAACCTGCTGCGACTAACTTAAGACTTGATAATAAGCGAATTAAAAGAGGGCGGGAGAAGGTCCTAAGTTCTCGCCCGCCTGTCGCAGAGGTCAGGCCTCTGGGACTGGAGTGCGATCAGAGGCCAGACAGGCAGGCAGAGGGCGGCGGTCACGGACGGGCAGGCAGAGTTGGGGGCGGGGGGCGTGGAGGCCGTTGTGGGGGGAGACACGGAGGGCTCCAGGCGGGGGGGACACGGCCAACTGACCGCACTGAAGCGGACCAGTCCTTGCTGAGCCTAAGACGTCCTAACCGTTGCCGTGAGACTCGGGGAATGGAGCTGTGTCTCGCTCTCGTACCAAGTGAGCTGCAGTCTAGAACAGGGTGACAAAATCAGCTGGAGAATTTATTTGGTCAGTGAATTACTGTGGGTTAGGAAACTGTCCGGGACAGACACGGAGAGCGAGCCCGGCCCGCGGCTTTCCCGAGACGACGGGCCCCCCGGTTCCCACACGTTAAGCTTTAATCCCTGCGCACGGCTGCACCTTATCGCCCTTGAGTCCAGGGCCTAAACGCGCCCGGCGCGCACGCAGAGCCCCCCGGAGCCTCTCGGCAGGACGGAGCCCCTCGGCAGGACGGACGCCTTCCCAGGCTCCGCGGCCGGGGGGCGCCGCGCACCTGCGCGCACCTGCAGGCGGAACAGGGCGCCCGTCGCGCCGCAGCTCCCGATGCCGCGGCTCGCGTGCGCCCGCCCTGCCGCCGAGTCACCAGGAAGGCCCCGGCGGCCCGCCCCGCCAGCGCCCCCCGCCCCGCCAACGCCCCCCCGTCCAGCCAGCGCTGAGTACCTCACGGCCTCCCAACTGGCCGCCCGGGGGCGGGGCCGGCGCGCGGGGACTGCGCCTGCGCGGCCGGCCCTCGCCCAGGTGATGGCTACGCTTGCGCAATCGGCCCTGCCGGCCCGGGGTCGGAGTGCGCCTGCGCGGTCCCTCAAGCTGGCCCTGGGGGGCGGGGCTACGCCTGTGCAATCTGCCCAGACCCTCCCCATCAGCGGCGCCTCGGCACCTAGAGCCGCCCGTCCGGCCGGGCCCCGGGGAGTGGAGGGCGTGCGGGCACTGCGCCTGCGCGCGCCGGCCCCGCCCCCGGCCCCGCCCCGGCCGCGCGGGGCCCTGGGAGGGGTGCAGCGTCCGGCGGCGGCGGCGGCGGCGCGGGAGGGGCCGGGGGCGGACAAAGCCGAGGCCGATGAATGGGGCGCGTCTGCCTGCGCGGCCGTGGGGTCCCCGCGGTGAGTGCGCGGCTCGCTTCCGGGGCCGGCCGTCCAGGCAAGCCGTCGGGGTCGGGGCCGGGGGGCCGGGGCGCCGGGGCCAGACCCAGGGGCCGGGGGCCGGGGCCGGAGGGCGAGGCCGGGGTCGGGCCGGGCGGGCGCGGGGTCGCCTGCGCGAGGCGGGGCGGGGGCGTCCTGCAGTCGCGGGGACCCCGCCCGGGCGGCGGACTCGGTCTCGGCGCCCGGACGCCACTCCAGCTGCGCGCCCCGCGGCCGCCGGCCCGGCTGACAGCGGGGCACCCGGGGCGCCTCTTCCGGCCGCGCGGCCGGCAGAGCAAGCGCGAGGAGGTGGAAGCGGGCGCGGACCCCGGGCCGGCCGCGGGCGAGCACGGGGACAGGCGTGCCGGCCGGCGTGGGCTCTCCGGCTGACCACGCGGCGGACCCCGGGCCGCAGTCGCCCTGGGGCGGGGGTCGCCGGCCGGCAGACAGGTGCTTGGTGAGTGTCTGTCCTGAGGGCCTCTGCCCTCCGCCACCGCCACAGATCGCCTTACACGCTGTGCTTTTCGGGTGCCCCCCACCCAGGTACAGTATTTCATTTTCTGTGCGCTTCCAGGAAGGAGCAGCCGGGGCCTCGTTTACACGTCTCAGGGAGCACACGAGACGCTTCTCATCTCTGCACTGTTCTGATGCTTCTCGGTTACCGTGCGTGTTTCTGGGTATGACATTCAAGTGTAAGTAGTGAAAGCCCAAATCAAACTGCAGAGCAGAATTTCGAGCGTTTTTCCAGTTGCGGTTTTTTGGGTTTTTTTTTAAGACCCGAGTAACGACGGAGTCATTTGTGTGTCTTCTTTTATTTTTTTTCTGTGACCCACACCATCCTGCTTGCTTAAGAGAATTGCCAGCCCCCTAGACTCTCCTTGCATTTTGGGTGACTGTCCATAGACACACATACATGCACCTCTCTGCAAGCAAATCCCTGCCCAGCTGGGCCATCAGGAGAAGCTTCTGTGGGCATTCTCAAGTTTGGAAAAAAGGGAAGTTATTTGTTTTGAAGTTAACTCTGATCAGATTAAGTCCATAGTTTTGAAAAACGCATCTCAGACTTGCATGAGACCAGTTTGCTAAGGCATTTTTGTGACTTTTTATATTAATTTTTGATGTCTTCTCTACATCACGGTGTTAAAATTAGGAGAGGAAGAAGGATTTGGTTGGAGTTTTTAAAAAGCACTCGAACAAGCCAAATTGCAGTTATGACTTAATTTCCATGCAGAGTTATCTTGTGAGAGGAGACTGCTTTCACCAGTTTATACTCAGGGCCTGCCACGGGCTGTCCGTGCAGGGGTGCGTGCTTCCTGTGATCCTTAAACAGATGGTATCTGCTTGTGGTGGTTTACATTTTCTCAGGAAAAGATGTAGCACAAGTTAAGAGATTCTATGAGTCTTCAGGAAGTTAATCTCCTGTATTGGAAGAAAGCACAGACTTTGAGTCCACATCACCCCACACGTACTGTTAATTCCTGATGTTTTCGGGCGTGATATGTCTGCCCTGCTTTTTCATGTCACTACACACAGAAGGAGGTTTGTGAGTGGTTCACTCTGTGCCAGGAGTGCTCCTGAAGCGCTGGGAAAGGTTTGAGGGGGCCCGTGAGGGTGGTGGACTAAGCCCTGCGTCTGTGCAGAGGAGCCGGGGCCGCTGTGCTCAGTGCGTGGTGAAGGGCGTGTGTGTTGTCTTTCAGATCCTTGCCCGGCGTGGAAGCTGGGGAGCGGGCAGACCTGGGCCGCGGGGCTGCGGGAGCACGAGGCGCTGTGACCGCGGTCAGCCTGTCCTCCCCGCCATGCTGTCTGTGTGTCTCTGCCTGGCCGCAGCTCCTCCTTCCCACTCTGCTCTCGTTCCCTCCTTCAGTGGGAGGACTGCCGGGCGCAGGCACATGGCGGCACCTCCGACTGTCCCTCAGCAGCGCTGTTTCCTCCTAAGCTTCTCTGCACGAGGCTCGCGGCTGAGAGGTGACGGTCATGCTCCTGGTTACCGCTCGATGTTTAAGGCACTGTTTAAATCCCAGGACTTGACGTAAGCTATAGGAGGCGTCGTTTCTGTTTATGGTTGGTGTCTCACTGAATTCAGCTGCATGGAATCCCGCCCCGACCACCCCGCAGCCTCCCGGCTGGCGTCCCTGCAGTGTCCTGGTGTCGGCAGGCGTCCTGTCAGGCAGCTTCTAGAGCGTCAGCCCCTTCTGCTCCCTGCCTTTCCCCCCCTTCTCCCTTAGGCCTCGTCACCGCCTGATTCTCATCGCTCGGGCATTTAGATCACTTCTAGCTGATTCTCTGATGTGTGCTTCTGGCAGCTGGCACCCTGGAAGGCATCGTTAGGAGTGAGAGAAAGTCATTTCTCCTCCTTCCTCCTGTTTCCGAGGTAGAGGGCCCAGGAGAGCTGGAGATGCCTGCCTCTGCGGAGGTTCCTCTCCTCTCTCCTCTCACCTGGTGCTGTTCTACCTGCTGCGGCCACGCTGCAGGGTCGTGATGGGGATGGACAGAGAAGAAGGCAGAGTGAGCTCTCCAAGGAAGAGCACAGGCAGACATGGGCAAGGGGGATGGGCAGTGTGAGAAGTGCGCTCTTGGAAGACCGCTTGGAGAGGAAAGGACCTTTGCGTCCCGTGCCGAGGGGTCTCGGGGTGGTGGAGCGGAGACCCTGCGTGAGAAGCGGCAGTGAGGTGCGGAGCCCGGCCCCAGCGTTCGGGCCATGTCCTGTCGTAAGGCCCGTCGCCCGCCTTGCTCAGGTGTTTACCCTGCTCGGGTTCCGCTCTCCTTCAGGTGAAGGCCTTGCGGCAGCCGCCTACCCCCCCAGCGAAGTCTGTGCACCCCAGAAAGCAGAGGTGCTGGGCCTGGGCGGAGTGTCCCCTGCTGACCTCGGGCACTGCCCGCCATGGCTCCTCCATCCAAGCGGCCCTGCCCTGCCCGCCCCAAGCCCGCAGGCCTGAACGGAGGGCCCATCCTCAACCAGGGCCCGGTGACTGAGCCTGCCCAGTCGGCCTGCCGGGAGGGAGCAGCCCGGGGCGTGTGCTGTTTGGAGTGGGAGTTCGGGTGCCACGTGGGCGCACGTGGACACTTGAACCACGTCCAGTGGCGGCCCGTCAGACCTGTGGCTGGTGGGACCACCCAGAGTAGGCACTGGCACTGCGTGGAGGCCCTCGAAGCCAAAGTGGAGCCAGCCCGGCAGCCCTGGCCTGTGACCTGGAGCGCCTCTGGGTGGACAGGTTCCGCGGCCCTGCACGGAGCCCGTGTGCTGCTCGGGCCGCATCAGGGTGCCCTGCCGCGTCTCCAGGAGGTAGCTGCGGGCCTGGGTCTCTGAGTTTGGCCCCCGCAGTGTGCTCTGGCCTCCGTCTGGCTCTTGGGCTCCGCCCGGCCAGTCCTGGGTGGTGGCTTCTCTACACTTGAGGCGGCTCCTCCCCGGGAAGATGTTCGCCGTGGCTCTGCACCCTCCGCAGGTGCGGCTCGCTCTCAGTGTGGACCAGCTCTGCACCGGTAGCCTTGGTGGGAAGGCTGCCACGTCCGAGGATGAGGCTGCCCGGGTGCGGCCTGGCGCTGGTGCCCGAGCGGTGCCTGGCAGCCCCCAGGTGCCCGGGGCTTGGGCTGCAGGCCGGCGTGCGTGTGTCCTGAAGGCTGGGTGGTGGGTTGGGAGCAGGTCCAGGCGCCGCTGCTCCGGCCCTGAGCTGGAGTGCTGGCGCGGGTCCCCCACCTGTGCCTTTGGACTCTGAGGAGACAGCAAGGGTCACAGCACGTCGCCGCTGAGCGTCCTTTTCTTCTCAGAAGAGGCAGTCCAGTGGTTTGGATTCACGCTTCAGCACATTGCCTGCAAGGGCCTGGGTTCAGTCCCCGGTCAGGGACCCAAGGTCCTGTGGGCTGCATGCCACCCAGAAGAAGAGAGACGCAGAGGCACATTCTCGCCCCAGCAGTACGGCCGTGGAGGGAGTGAGCGGTCATCCTCGTGGCATTCAGCGGCCAAGCTGCAGTCCGGTTTCCCCACTCGGGACATTGACTTTTTGAAGAGACTAGGCCAGTTGTCTTGCAGAAATGTCCCTGTGTCTGGGTCTGTTTGCCATTTTCTGCTTTGCCGTTGACAGTTGGCCCTTGAACAACACGGCGGGCAGTTGGGGGCCGCCCTCCGCAGGCTTGGCCGTCTGAGGATAAGTTGCAGCTGGCCCCCGGGGCCCAGCTGCTCCCACCCGCGGGCGCCACCCACCAGGGACCCTGCGTCTTCAGGCGGCGGTGCTGGGCGTCCTGTGTGCCGCCCTCAGACTGTCCTGCCGGGACGGGCCCTGCTCCGTCGGGCTGTTCCTCCCCCTGCCTTTCACGTGCGTTTCCCTTACCTGTGACACGCGAGGAAGGCAGGACGCTGCGTCTTCTCCCCTCGTCACCCCTTTCCAGGGGCCAGGGGCTGCAGCGTCCCCCCTCCGCGGCAGGAGGAAAAATGTTTTCATTTTTCCTTTGATTCTTTGAGTATCAGTGCAGACTAGCAGATTTATCTGTTACATCGTAGTCTGCTGAAGTCTCCTCTCTTTGTCGTAGCGCTCAGATTGTCATGGCCGACTCGTGGGAAACCCGTGGAGCCGGCTCCTGGCACAGTCCTGGCGGCATGTCCTTCCTGCAGCTGTGCTCTCTGTTTCCAGAGCCGTGGTCGGCTCCTTCTGTGAGCGCTGTGGTCCCCTCCCGGCAGGAGGGTGTTTAGAAACCAGAATCCAGGGACCAGGTGTGTTCAGCGTGCTTGTGTGTGACTGCGGCTTTAAGCACTGGTCTCCTGCACAGAGCTAGGAGATAAATTTTTAAAACATCAAGAGTTCATACTGATATTTTCAAAACAAATTTAAAATTATACAGTTTTACTTAATTTCTCTTTTTTTTTAAATTATGTCTTTTTCCTAAAAATTTTGATTCTTAATGGCATTGGCATAGTTACATTTTGTTTTGTGCTAAAGTACATATAACAGGTAAAATGAAAATACTATGTTGCCACTGCTAATGAAATCACTCAGCAGAATTTAAGGTATTTTTTCATTTTTAGTTCGTATTCTGCTTCTGGTGAATAAAGTCCCTGGGGAACGTTCTTTGTTTGCAGTAGGATCGCTCATTTGATATGCCTTTAGGTTTCACACTTGAAATTTCCTACATTTTAATGTAAAGGTAATCACACTGCTCAAAAGTCAACATTATATAAAAGATACGATCAGAAAGCTTACTTGCCTTCATATTTCCTCCACTCTCTATAGGCGGCCATCTTTATTTCTGCTTTATCCTGCAAAATAAGCGTGTAATTTGCTTCAGTCGTGCCCGACTCTTTGTGACCCCATGGACTGTAGCCCCCCAGGCTCCTCTGTCCATGGGATTCTCCAGGCAAGAGCACTGGAGTGGGTAGCATGCTCTCCTCCAGGGGATTTTCCCAACCCAGGGATCAAACCTGCGTCTCTTATGTCTCCTGCATTGGTTGACAGGTTCTTTACCGCCAGCACCAACGGAGAAGCGCCAAAATAAGCACTTCACACATACATTAATATTTGTAACTTAGCTTGTTTTTCCTTCTGTCTTTTAAGTCATAAAAGTGTAACAGCACTGTTTATTCTGTCTTGCTTTTTTTCAGTGGTCTGTGTATATATGGCGCTTCCCCACTGGCTCAGCTCGTAAAGAATCCTCCCGCAATGCAGGAGACCTGGGTTTGATCCCTGGTTTGGGACAGTCCCCTGGAGAAGGGAAGGGCAACCCACTCCAGTATCCTTGGCTAGAGAATCCCATGGACAGAGGAGCCTGGCGGGCTACAGTCCATGGGGTCGCAAGAGTTGGACACGACTGAAGCGCCTGGGATGCACGTATGTATCAAGCCTTACTGGGGGGGTGTGAGTGGTTTTGCAGCCTGGCTGTGGAACTGCAGCGCCTGACCTGGGACAAGTGTTGCTATGTGTCTGATAAGGTGGTCTTCAGAGTCTGTCCCTGGACATGGGGTTACTGGGCCCTCGGGTGAATGTGACTTGGTAGGGGTCTCCAGCGTCCTCACTGACGGTTCTACCAAACTTTGGGGCCTTTCCTCTGATTGGGTGAGATGACTTGAAGTGTTTTCCTTAATCTGCTGCATCTGCAGCGTGAGGAGTGGAGAAGCATGCGTTATCTGGTCGGGGCCTGCACAAAAGCTGGTCGCTGTGTTAGGAAGCCGCTGAGCCCGCGTGGCCGCTGCAGGGCGGGAACTGGGGCGCGTGCACATGGGATCCTGCTCTGACAGGCACTCCGGTGTTACAGCAGCCTGGAAGGTGCTTTCTTTAATTCTTAAGATGAAAAATAACTGTATGTTCCCCAAGCCAGAACACACACCTGGAATTGACACGGTATTTTTTCCAGCCCGTGGAAAGAACCTCTGATGGGCTGCCTCTGCCTTTGGGTGTTTTGCTGTCGAAGCTGAAACACATGCAGTCAGTCTCGGCAGACCTGGACTCTGGATCCATCCTCTCTCCTCCTCTCCTACCTCCTGTCTCTGGTCAGTGTAGGGGGCTGAGCTCCCCGCTGGGCGGAGCCCCACACTCCTCGTCACCAGTTTCAGAGTGACCCTCTGCCTGTAGGGGGTGGGGGGCGGGGGGCAGGGAGGCCCACCGCGTCTGTTGTAGGAGGAGGCTGTTTCACCTGCCGCCCATGACCACCGTTTGACAGTTGTGTTGATGATTTCCCTCTGGGCTAGTTCTTACTTGCTGGACATAGAAGCCATACTGCAGGACAGCTGGTGCTGGGTGCCACCCAGGCCCCGTGACCAGGTGGCCTCACCTTCAAGGCCAGAGGAGCATCTCCAGAGCTCTGGGATGGGTGGCCTCCCACCCGTACAGAATTACCCACAGTGCCTCAGACACAGAATCCTTCTGCGGTGTGAGAGCTAAAGCCAACATCCATTTGCCTTTCTAAATACTTGGTGCAAAAATAGAAAAAGTAGTAGTAAGCTGCTAGAGCCAATGACAGCATTTTTCCTAAAACAGAAGCATCAGGGGCTCCCTGGTGGTCCAGTGGTCGGGCTCTGGCTCCACTGCAGGGGGCGTGAGTTTCGTCCCTGCTCAGGGAACTGAGATCCCCGTGCAGCCAAAAGGAAAAGAAGTAGAAACATCACACTTAGGACTTTGAGATAGTGTGTAGGGAACTGGTCCAGAGGAAGACATAAACTGGAAGACAGTGGCCTCCCCGAGAGCCCCGTCCCAGGCGCGTACTGGCGTTACCCCTGGTGCCGGCCCTCGGGTCTGGCTGGGGTGGTGTTGGCGTTACCCCTGGCGCTGGCCCTGGGTCTGGCTGGGGCGGTGCTGGCGTTACCCCTGGCGCCGGCCCTCGGGTCTGGCTGGGGTGGTGTTGGCGTTACCCCTGGCGCCGGCCCTCGGGTCTGGCTGGGGTGGTGTTGGCGTTACCCCTGGCGCCGGCCCTCGGGTCTGGCTGGGGTGGTGTTGGCGTTACCCCTGGCGCCGGCCCTCGGGTCTGGCTGGGGTGGTGTTGGCGTTACCCCTGGCGCCGGCCCTCGGGTCTGGCTGGGGTGGTGTTGGCGTTACCCCTGGCGCCGGCCCTCGGGTCTGGCTGGGGTGGTGTTGGCGTTACCCCTGGCGCCGGCCCTCGGGTCTGGCTGGGGTGGTGTTGGCGTTACCCCTGGCGCCGGCCCTCGGGTCTGGCTGGGGTGGTGTTGGCGTTACCCCTGGCGCCGGCCCTCGGGTCTGGCTGGGGTGGTGTTGGCGTTACCCCTGGCGCCGGCCCTCGGGTCTGGCTGGGGTGGTGTTGGCGTTACCCCTGGCGCCGGCCCTCGGGTCTGGCTGGGGTGGTGTTGGCGTTACCCCTGGCGCCGGCCCTCGGGTCTGGCTGGGGTGGTGTTGGCGTTACCCCTGGCGCCGGCCCTCGGGTCTGGCTGGGGTGGTGTTGGCGTTACCCCTGGCGCCGGCCCTCGGGTCTGGCTGGGGTGGTGTTGGCGTTACCCCTGGCGCCGGCCCTCGGGTCTGGCTGGGGTGGTGTTGGCGTTACCCCTGGCGCCGGCCCTCGGGTCTGGCTGGGGTGGTGTTGGCGTTACCCCTGGCGCCGGCCCTCGGGTCTGGCTGGGGTGGTGTTGGCGTTACCCCTGGCGCCGGCCCTCGGGTCTGGCTGGGGTGGTGTTGGCGTTACCCCTGGCGCCGGCCCTCGGGTCTGGCTGGGGTGGTGTTGGCGTTACCCCTGGCGCCGGCCCTCGGGTCTGGCTGGGGTGGTGTTGGCGTTACCCCTGGTGCCGGCCCTGGGTCTGGCTGGGGTGGTGTTGGCGTTACCCCTGGTGCCGGCCCTCGGGTCTGGCTGGGGTGGTGTTGGCATTACCAGGCCCTGGGTCTGGCCGGGGCGGTCCCCGCTGGCAGCACCGTGGTCCTGTGAGTCTTCCCTGCCCTTGGTTTCCTCGGGGTGGGCGGTGGGCTCGGGTTTGCTCTCTGGGGAGACTGCTTCCGCAGTTGTGTGGCCCCCTCGGGAGGCGCCTCGTGTGCGGGGGCCCCCCCCCCGCCCCGAGCGCTGCCCCCGGGGTGCACCTAGTGCGGGCGTTAATGAGCACCCAGGTCGAGGTGGAGCTGTTCGCCTGAGCTCCTGCGTCTCTGTTCAGGAGCTGGACGTGGACTGGGAGCCCTGCCCTGGCTCTCTGGTGCTGTAGCTGATATAAGGAGCTGAGGGTAGATTTCTCTGTCACTTCTCAAAGTAGTGAATCATTTGCCTTCCATCATCCTCCAGACGTGACCGATTGAGGATTTTATTGGGGGATTAGGCATTAATAGACTTAAACATTTGATGAGTTTTGATGTATAATGCTGACCCTTCTTTACGTTCAGATTATCTCATTTTTGGACAGGGGGAGCCCTTCAGGTTGACGCCTGGATCCTTCCCGCACCGCCCTCGTCTGCTTGCAGAGGTCCTGGCTCCCTGGTTCCCCAGGGCATCCTCGGCTCGTTTCCTGTTCTTCCCGCCCCTGGACCTCGTGGTCCTCGGGAACCCTCGGCTCCTTTAGCGGGAGACGTGTTTGAGAGCTGTGTCTGGAGGTCGCGGGGGTTGCTGCTCTTGGGACTTTGCACTGAGCAGAGCTGGTCAGAGTGACCAGAGTCCCCCAGGACTGCAGGATGCGCGTCTGGCCTTCCTGGTCCGTCTCTGCAAGGACAGGGGGACCGGAGCCCGCCTCCCCCGCTCTGCGTGCGGCCGTGTCCTTGCTGAAGGCAGCCCAGTGTCTCTGGCCCAGCAACCCGCGTGTCGTCCAGCCCCCTCCCTCGGGCTCAGGGCCAGCGCTGGAGCGCTGCATGGCGCCCGCCTTCTCTCCCGGGACCCTCACTCAGGGCGTCCTACCGGGAAGATGCCGTGAGCACACCTCCAGGCTTCTGGGTTGAGGTTTGTTCTCCGGTCGACTTCTCAGGAAGGACTCAAGGAAAGACGCCTCCTGAATTCTTGCTTGTTGGTAATAGTTTCTCCACGTCCTTTGTACTTGAACGTCAGGTTGACTGGATGTAAAACGCTTGTCTCGCGTGTTTTTTCCTTGAATACCTTAAACACGTTATTCTGTTGTCTTACAGCATAAAGCCTTGCTGTCAGACTCGTGACGGTTTCCTTTCCCTCCCGAGCGACCGTGGTTTTTGCCTGATCGGCCTTCTCAAGTCTGGTGGTTTTCCTAGGCTGTACCTGCACGCTCACTGTTACAGGTGCGTTGTCTCCGCTCTGCGCGGCGCCCTTCCTGTGTTTCGGTGACTGTGTTTGCATGCTGAATGCCACTCCTGGCTGTGCGGGTCTCTGCTGCTGCACCGGCCTTGTTGCTCCAGTCGCTCTGAGCAGGCGCTGCTCTCGTTCTGACACGCAGGCTTCTCTTGCAGAGCACGTGCTCTGGAGTCCGTGGACTCGGGAGTTGCGGTTCCCGGGCTCGAGAGACAGGCTCGGTGGTTCCGGCGCACGGGCTTAGCTGCCCTGCGGCATGTGGAATCTTCCTGGATTGGGGATCAAACCAGTGTCCCCTGTATTGGCAGGATTCTTCACCATGGAGCCGCCAGGGAAGCCCAGCGTGCTCCTTCAATGCACCTTTTTATTTGAGAGTTTTCAGTAATCTGTTCTCTTGCCCTGTCCCCCTTTTTTGTGGGGAAACACCTTGATTGTACATATGTTGGATTTTCTTTACCTAAGCTTTAAATTGGTCAGCTTCTTCTCAGTCTTTTTGTAATCTGTTTCTTTTTCATTAAATTTTTTTCTTTCCTAAACTCTTCTGTTGATCTTAAGCAATCCTCTGTGGAGTTTATTTGTTCTTTTGTTGCTTGTAACTTAGTCTTTATTCTAAAATGACATTTTACTTTTACTTGTAATAGTTTCTTAGGATCTGTAATCTCATCTCAGTGTTTTTCTGTCTTGATTTATTTGGTTTTTCATGTATTTATTTATTTATTTTGTTTTTTCTGTAGCTTCTTTTGAAAGAAGTTACTCAATTTCACTTAATCTGTGTTTATATTTTTCTTTTGCGCTTTCATTACCTATAGAGATGTTTTTCCACTTTTACCACTTTTTCTCTCATCCTTATGTAGGATTTAATCTTAACCCTTTTCTGTTGTTCACTGTATTAGTTTTCTAGTGGTGCTTTAACAAATCATCAGACTTCGTGGTTGAAGACAGCATACGTTTGAGGCCAGCAGTCTGAGCTCGGTGCCCTGGGCTTCAGTCACGGTGCTGGCAGGCTTCCCTCCTGGCGGCCTGGCAGAGGCTGGCTCCTCGCCCTTCACTTCAGAGGCCCCTGCGTCCTGGCGGGCGGCCCTCCCCACCCCCGTCTTCCGAAGCCAGCGACGCTGCATCTCTAACCTTCCACAGTCATATTTTCATGTCTCTCCTCTGCCTCTTTCTTTCACTTTTGAAGATCCATGTGACAGCACTGCATCTGCCCAGATAATCAGGGTAGTCTTCTCATCATCCTGGATCAGTAACCTTTATTCCATCTGCATCCTTGCTGACAGTTCTCCTTTGCTGTGTAGCTTAACACAGTCGTAGGTCTGAGAGTTCAGGCATGGTCTTGTGTGAGGCCCTTTGTTCTGTCTGCCACACTCACGTTATCAGATACTAGTTGGCTTCACACCCGAGGAGGAGAGGTGCCTCAGGAACACTTTTCCTGACTTCCCGGTGCTTCCTCTTCTGCAGACTTCCATCGTTGTTGTTTAGTCGTGAGGTCGCGTCTGACTCTCTGACCCCATGGACTGCAGCACCCAGGCTATTCTTTCCTCCACCATTTCCTCAAACTCATGTCCACTGAGTCGGTGATGCCATCCAACCATCTCATTCTCAGCTGCCCCCTTCTCCTCCAGTCCCCAATCTTTCCCAGCACCAGGGTCTTTTCCAGTGAGTCAGCTCTTCACATCAGGTGGCCAAAGGATTGGAGCTTCAGCTTCAGCATCAGTCCTTCCAAAGAATACTCAGGGTTGATTTCCTTTAGGACGGACTGGTTTGATTGCCTTGCTGTCCAAGGGATTCTCTATAGTCTTCTCCAGCACCACAGTTTGAAAGCATCAGTTCTTCGGTGCTCAGCCTTTTTTATGGTCCAGCTCTCACATCTGTACATGACTACTGGGAAAATCATAGCTTTGACCATACGGACCTTTGTTGGCAAAGTAATGTCTCTGCTTTTTAATACAGAGAGATCACTAACACACAAGGCTTCCCTTGTGGCTCAGCTGGTAAAGAGTCCGCCTGCAATGCGGGAGACCCTGGTTTGATCCCTGGGTCTGGAGGATCCGCTGGAGAAGGGATCGGCTGCCCACTCCAGTATTCTTGGGTTTCTCTTGTGGCTCAGCTGGTAAAGACTCCACCTGCAATGCGGGAGACCTGGGTTCAATACCTGGGTAGGGAAGATCCCCTGGGGAAGGGAAAAGCTACCTACTCCACAGTTCTGGCCTGGACAGTTCCATGGACTTTACAGCCCATGGGGTCGCAGAGAGTCGGCCATGACTGAGCGAGCCTCACTTTCATCACTAACAGTGCGGCGGCCTCCACGCCTGCATCTCACGTTGTGTGTCTGGGAAGGTTGCAGTCTCCTTCCCCTGTTGTCTTTGACTTCGGTGCCCAGGTGACCCTGCCCTCTCACAATGAACTGGAACGTACACTGCCCTCTTTTCAAAGATTTTGTGGGGTAATGATGGCATTTCTTCTGTAAGTGTTTGATAAAATTCACCAGTGGAGCTGTCTGGGCCTGCGTTTTTGTTTGTAGAAATTTTTAAGATACTAATTGAATGTCTTTATTTGTCATAGGTCTGTTGTTACTTTCTATTACTTCCTTGAATCACTTTTATTAACTACTTTCTAGAAATTTTTCCATTTCACCTAAGCTGTTGAATTTGTCGGTAGAAAACTGTTCATTGTGCTCTCTTGAGCTTTGTTTAGCTTCTGAGGACGCAGTGGAAATGCTCCCGCGTTTTTGCAACCTGTCTTCTTTTTTCTTGGCTACTCTAGGGATTCAGCAGTTTTGTTGATGTTTTCAAAGAGCCAACTTTTGGTTTCATTGATGTTCTGTATCACTTTTCTGTTTTCTATTTCATTAATATGAAGTCTAATTTTTATTATCTCCATTTTTCTATGTTTTTTTTTTCATTTATTTTTATTAGTTGGAGGCTAATTACAATCTTGTAGTGGTTCTGTGTTGGTTTTGTTTGCTGTTTTTCTAGTTTACTTTTGTTCTCTTTTCAATCTGGAGGTGAATGCATACATTGATTTGAGGTATCTCTTCTTTTATAAATACAGATATTTGAAGCCATAAATTTCTCTCTGAGCACCACTTTAGTTGCATCTCACGTATTTTGGTTTGTTGTGTCTTTATTTTCATTCAGATGAAAATATTTTTTTCTTCTTTCTCTTGTACTTTCTCTTTAACCGTGGATTATTTAGAAATGTGTTATTATTTCCAAGTATTCATTGATCTCTCAAGTTTCCTTCTGTTGTCTAGTCCCCAAGTCATATCTGACTCTTTGTGACCCCTTGGGCAGTAGCCCACTGGTTTATAATTTAGCTTCATTGTGGTTGAAGGATGTATTCATACAGTTTCAGCTTTTTCATTTATTGATGCTTGTTTCCGGGCTCAGCCTGTGGTCTGCGCCGTGGAGCGTGCTGTGTGCAGTTGGACGGGGCCCTGTGAGGAGCTGCGGGTTCAGGCTGGCTAATGAACAGCGTTGTCACGGCGTCTGTTCCTCGCTGACCCCATCTCCTGCTGCTCTAGTTGACGTCTCTTCAGGCCTCCTGATCCTTCTGCCAGCTGCTGAGCCTCTGGCGAAGATGTCATTGCAGTTCAGATCCATCACGCTAACTTCATAGTCGGTTCTCTTTCATCATTTTTCTCTGTATGCTGACACTTGGCGAGGCATTATCCTGCCCTCCTGAAGTTTCTTTATATGCGGTTTCGTTTAGTTCTTTCAGCATATTATAGTAGCTGACTTAAAGTCTTTGTCTAGTGAGTCTAACCTCTGAACACCCTCAAGGACAGTTTCTTGGTTTATTTTTCCCCACATTCCTGGGTTTTTTTGCACGTCTTGTAATCTTCTTGTTTCGGTTGAAAGCTGGACATTGTTTGTTGTTGTTGTTGGGGCTTTGTTTCACTTTTGCTGGCTTGCCCCTTTAGTTCCCTCCGGGGCTGGTTGGCAGAGTCTGCACCCCTGTAGTGGTGGGCCCTGCAGTCTGCGTGCCTGCTGGTGCAGAGGGCGGCTGCTGAGGCGTTTCCTTGTGCCGCCAACAGTGCATCCGCTGTCTCTGCTGTACAGGTGTGTGTGTGCTGGGACCCGCTGTCGCCTTCTGCTTGCTCAGGGCGCCAGGTCAGCCGGCGGCGAGGGATTGGGTCCCGCAGGTCTCTCCTGGTTGTCTCCTGCTGCAGCCGCGGAGCTCTCGGAGCCGCTCCCAGCTCCCCGCTCTGCATGCTGGGCCTGGAGTGGCCCCGGTGTTGCGGAATTCCTGGGAGAGGGCTTTTCACCTGCGGCTCTGAATCAGATGAAGTAAGCGCCATGCACTGGGACGGGGGCTTTTCCAGGGACCTGGATGCACATCTGGCGGTGACCGTGCTGTGGAGAGTGGCCTTTCTGCGGGACGCAGGCCGAGGCTGCCCCTCTGTGGGCTGCTGTCCATCACAGCGGCCATGGTTGTGCAGTTCCCCAGGGAGGCAGGCTGGGAGTGAAGTGCAGGGCAGAGCCCCCAGGGTCTCTCCTAAGCCGTGCTCCTCGGGAGGCTGCGAGCCTTGGCTTGGCCCAGAGCTGCGAGCAGGGTGGGGTTGACACCCTCCGGGCAGGTGTGCGGGGTCCTCTCCCACCTCGCTGAGCAGGGCCGTGGCCTGAGCTTTCCCCTCCCTCCTCTGCCTGCCTTCCGTGTTTTGTCCCTAGGCACGGTTTAGAGTCTGTTCCCGGCAGTTCCTCTGATGTGGTCTCTGCCCTGGGGGTCGCCCGGGCGGGGGCAGGGGCGCTCCGGCCTCTGGGCCTTCCCTGGCCCGCCGGTATCGCCGCAGTCGGCAGAGGGATCGGCCGGCGCGCGCGCCCGCGGCTGCCCGTGAGCGGGCACCTGGTGGCCCTCGGGGGCGTCTGTCCTGCATGCAGGCTGCCTGCTAGGTCCCCTGCACACGGCTGACAGCACAGGCTGCCTTGGTCTGTCCTGCTGGCGGACGTGTCGGAGCTAAGGAAACCCTTTCCCAGTTTTGTCTCATTGTTGATGTGGTTCATGAGCTTGTGGGTTTGCTCTTCTAGTTCTATGCTGTGTTACCAACCGAAACATGAACCTAACTGTAGTTCAAATGAATAAAACAGCTACACTTAAGAGAGAAAAGTACCTGGGAAACCCTTGGATGTGGTGCTTCCTTATATACCCTCAAGCCCACAGACAGAGATGGATCAGCTCACATCTCTAGTTCTGAAGCTTTTTTTTCCTTGGTGGTGTGGGTTTGCATTCTGAAGCTACTTCCTGAATATCATAAATTGAGCAAATGAGCAAATCTTTTGAGCCTAGTGGGAGCCAAATTTCCCGCTATTAGACAAAAAAGTTGCAAATATGGAAAAGGTGAGGCCAGGGTGCTCCTGTGATGTTGGATTGAAATCGGAGCTATCAGTGTGAATCTGTGGTTTTCATCCATCTGTGCATGTATGTGTCTGTGTGTATGAGTCTTCATTCAGTTCAGTGGCTCAGTCGTGTCCAACTCTTTGCAACGCCAGGCGTCCCTGTCCATCACCAACTCCCAGAGCTTGCTCAAACTCATGTCTATTGAGTCAGTGATGCCATCCAGCCATCTCATCCTCTGTCGTCCCCTTCTCCCACCTTCAATCCCTCCCAGCATCAGGGTCTTTTCAAATGAGTCAGCTCTTCACATCAGGTAACCAAAGTATTGGAGTTTCAGCTTCAACATCAGTCCTTCCAATGAACACCCAGGACTGATTTCCTTTAGGATGGACTGGTTGGATCTCCTTGCAGTCCAAGGGACTCTCAAGAGTCTTCTCCAATACCACACTTCAAAATCATTAATTCTTCGGTACTCAACTTTGTTTATAGTCCAACTCTCACATCCATACATGACTACTGGAAAAACCATAGCTTTGACCAGACGGACCTTTGTTGGCAAAGTAATGTCTCTGCTTTTTAATATTCTGTCTAGGTTGGTCATAACTTTTCTACCAAGGAGCAAGTGTCTTTTAATTTCATGGCTGCAGTCACCATCTGCAGTGATTTTGGAGCCCCAAAAAATAAAGTCTGTCACTGTTTCCATTCTTTTCCCATCTATTTGCCATGAAGTGATGGGACCGATGCCATGATCTTAGTTTTCTGAATGTTGAGTTTAAAGCCAACTTCTTCACTCTCTTCTTTCACTTTCATCAAGAGGCTCTTTAGTTCTTTTTTGCTTTCTGCCATAAGGGTGGTGTCATCTGTATATCTGAGGTCATTGATATTTCTCCCAGCAATCTTGATTCCAGCTTGTGCTTCATCCAGCCCAGTGTTTCTCGTGATGTACTCTGCATATGAGTTAAATAAGCAGGGGGACAATATACAGCCTTGATGTACTCCTTTCCTGATCTGGAACCAGTCTGTTGTTCCATGTCCAGTTCTAACTTGCTTCTTGACCTGCATACAGATTTCTCAAGAGGCAGGTCAGGTGGTCTGGTATTCCCATCTCTTTAAGAATTTTCCACAGTTTGTTGTGATCCACACAGTCAAAGGCTTTGGCGTAGTCAATAAAGCAGAAGTATATGTTTTTCTGGAACCCTCTTGCTTTTTCAGTGATCCAGCGGTTGTTGGAAATTTGATCTCTGGTTCCTCTGCCTTCTCTAAAACCAGCTTGAACATCTGGAAGTTCGCAGTTCACGTACTGTTGAAGCGTGGCTTGGAGAATTTTGAGCATTACTTTGCTAGCATGTGAGATGAGTGCAATTGTGCAGTAGTTTGAGCATTCTTTGGCATTGCCTTTCTTTGGGACTGGAATGAAAACTGACCTTTTCCAGTCCTGTGGCCACGGCTGAGTTTTCCAAATTTGCTGGCATATTGAGTGCAGCACTGTCACAGCATCATCTTTTAGGATTTGAAATAGCTCAACTGGAATTCCATCACCTCCACTAGCTTTGTTCATAGTGATGCTTCCTAAGTCCCATTGACATCACATTCCAGAATGTCTGGCTCTAGGTGAGTGATCACACCATCGTGATTATCTGGGTTGTGAAGATCTTTTTTATATAGTTCTTCTGTGTATTCTTGCCACCTCTTCTTAATATCTTCTGCTTCTGTTAGGTCCATACCATTTCTGTCCTTTATTGAGCCCATATTTGCATGAAATATTCCCTTGGTATCTCTGATTTTCTTCAAGAGATCTCTAGTCTTTCCCATTCTGTTGTTTTCCTCTATTTCTTTGCACTGATCACTGAGGAAGGCATTCTTATCTCTCCTTGCTATTCTTTGGAACTCTGCATTCAAATGGGTATATCTTTCCTTTTCCCCTTTGCCTTTAGCTTCTCTTTTCACAGCTGTTTGTAAGGCCTCCTCAGACAGCCATTTTGCTTTTTTGCATTCCTTTTTCTTGGGGATGGTCTTGATCCCTGTCTCCTGTATACTGTCACATACCTCCATCCATAGTTCTTCAGGCACTCTGTCTATCAGATCTAGTCCCTTAAATCTGTTTCTCACTTCCAGTGTATAATCATAAAGGATTTGATTTAGGTCGTACCTGAATGGTCTAGTGGTTTTCCCTGCTTTCTTCAATTTAAGTCTGAATTAATAAGGAGTTCATGATCTGAGCCACAGTCAGCTCCTGGTCTTGTTTTTGCTGACTGTATAGAGCTTCTCCATCTTTGGCTGCAAAGAATATAATCAATCTGATTTCGGTGTTGACCATCTGGTGATGTCCATGTGTAGAGTCTTCTCTTGTGTTGTTGGCAGAGGGTGTTTCCTATGACCAGTGTGTTCTCTTGGCAAAACTCTGTTAGCTTTTGCTCTGCTTCATTCCGTGCTCCAAGGCCAAATTTGCCTGTTATTTCAGGTATTTCTTGACTTCCTACTTTTGCATTCCAGTCCCCTATGATGAAAAGGACATCTCTTTGGGGTGTTAGTTCTAGAAGGTCTTGACGGTCTTCATAGAACTGTTCAACTTCAGCTCTTCAGCATTACTGTTCTGGGCGTAGGCTTGGATTACCTTGATATTGAATCGTTTGCCTTGGAAACGAGCAGAGACCATCTGTCCTTGGGGTCGCATGGACCACAGCCTTGTGTGGCTCCGTGAGCCGGCCTCAGTCAGCCTGCTGGGCGGGCCCAGAGCAGGGCCCAGCGGGTGCCTGGCCTCTCAGCCGCGCCGCTGTGTGTGGCTCTGTGTCTGTGTGTCGCTGAATCCCGTGTGGAGTCACTCGGCCACGAGGGCAGCCTCTTGCCCCTCCTCCAGTGGAAGTCGCCTGCTGACGCACTCTGTGTGTAGTTCGGCCGGCAGTGTCTTTACTCATATCGCTTCTTGGAGGAGTGTTCTCGCTGAGTACTGAGCTCTGGTTTGCCTGCCCCGCAACGCTGGAGACGCACTTCTTTTGTCTCCTGGTTTGCGTTGCTTCTCTTTAAGTCAGTACTCTGTCTAGTTTTTTTCTTGAAACAGTTCCTGGGGCTGTGTTGCGGTGTGTGCTAGATGGTGAGTGTAAGGAGCGCATGCCCTCATCACCCAGCTGTAACAGACGGACAGACAGGTGCACGGCCATGCCTGTTCTGTGTCCCCCCACTCGGTTATTTCAGAGCAGATACCGGAAGTCGTATTTCATTTGGACGTTTTCCGGTTAGTGTCTTGGAAAGACGGGATCCTTTAAAAAGGATTCTTTAAAAAGTCTTATCCACAGTATCTTTATACCTTAATAAACTAAGAATTACTTTGTATCAGATGTTAAATCAGTACCCAGGTCTCCCACCTTGTCTAAGGAATGCTCTTATGTAGTTTGCTGATTCACACTGGGATTCAAGTGGTTTGTTAGAGAAGCTGGGTTTTTTGTCCTACTGTAGAAGCCCTGTAATCTGGATTCTCCCGATTTCATCCTACCGGCGGTATTGAGCCAAGTTCCTCCATCCCTCCTCATTTTTATCTCTGCTTTTTCTTATTTTTAGCACTTTTTTTTCTCGTTAAATCTTGCTTGGGGTTTGTAGGGATTCTTGAATCTGTGGTCTGAAGTCTTTGATGAGAACTGTGCTTTCTTTCCTTCTTCCTTTCCGTGATGGTCATCAGAGCGTGCTCAGCGGAGGCCTGGTTGTCTGGCTGTCGACGCCCCCTGCGGATCCTGGTCTGTGTCTGCTCCCCCCAGACTCCACTCCTGCCCCCTGGCTGCAGCCACGCCTCTCATCTCCTCGTGAGTCTGTCTGTCTCATAGGTGAGTTTGCTTGTGTCGTATCTTAGGTTCCACGTGTGAGTAAGCGTCCTGGTACCTGTCCCTCTCTCTGACTTCACTTAGTGTGACCCTTTCCAGGTCCATCTGTGTCCCCGTGTTCATAGCCACATCCCTCCCTGCGCGCGTGCCTTCTGTCCACCGCCCCCAGCCCCTCGGACCCCCAGCGCGCCAGGAACAGCGGCCAGTTTGCCCCGCGTGCCCCAGACACGTTTCTCACCCTCTGTGCCCATGTCCTTTGGAGAAAAAGGAGATGTGTCGCACTAACCCTTCCTTGAAAGATTGTCACGTGGCTCAAGTGAGCCCGCACGGGCTGAGCAGGTAAAAGAGGGCCCGCAGGAAGCAGTCCGCGCCATCACCCCGGCTCTTGCCCCGAGAGTCTTCAGAGAGCCTCAGGGTCAGCCGAGAACGGGACGTCTGCCTTGAAGGGAGACGAGCTGGGTCCTCCCAGACCAGAGAGGAGCTGGACAGGGGTGGTGTCCGGGCCAGCCGGATGGCAGGGAGCTCAAGGCCGCCGACCGTGCCCTGTGACCTTTCCGTGGAGGCCTGAAGACCTCTGTCACACAGACGCCCGTGGCTTGCCCTTCAGCCTTGCGGAGCCTCTCGTCAGCAGTAGGAGCAGAGACGATATTAAATGCATTTCCTCATCCAGTGACCCTACGGTTTTCCTCCCGTTTTCTGTGAACCTGGTGCATTCTGTTGGCTGAGTTTTTAATGTTAGACCAAACGTTCTTCTGATACAGCCCACTTACTCGCGGACTGTTATCTTCAGTGTAGTGCTGAATGTGATTGGTTAACTTTATAAGAACTCGCCGCATTTTCTTACGGCTCTTCTGTGATCACGGGGCTGTGACTCTGGTTCTTCTCCCATGACATCTCTGTGGCCGTGGTGGCCGCGTGGCTCCACCTCGTTAAGAGAGTTGGGGAGTGTTTCGTCTTTTATTTTCTGGGAGAGTGTGTTTCATCAGTAGTTTTTCTCTAACGTTTGGTGAAATTAGCCAGTGGAACCGTCTTGGCCAGGCATTTTAACAGAAGGGTGTCAACTTCATGTTCAGCCTTGGGACTAGGGAGCGGGCCGTTCAGGCTGCCCACTCAGCGTGAGGCAGCGGCGCGACCGCCGCGCGGCATCCTGCCTCCGTCGGCGTCTCTTCAGACTTGGCCCGCTCCATCTGAGCCGCCGGGTTTCTCGCCGTGCAGTCACTCACTGTCTCCCTGCTTCCTTTTTGTGTCTGTAAGACCTTTGGTGGTGATGCCCACTTTCATTCTTGCTGTCGGTAGTTTCTGTCTTTTCCTTTTTTTTCCTCTTATTAATCAGTGTAGAAGTTGGCCAATTTTTTTGATCTGTCCAAAAAACCAGTGTTAGGTTTCATTGATTTCCGGCCCACCCCCCCCAACCTCTTCCCCGCTCCCCTCCAATTAAATTGATTTCAAATCTTTTATTGTTTTCTTCAGGATTAAATTTGCTGTACTTTTCCTTGGGACTTTTTCCTTACCCCTTGGCTTCATACGTATAGAAGTTTTACTTACTTAAAGATACTTCAGATTTTTCCAGATATCATTCTAATGTTTTCTTATTCAGTTTCCTTTTCAGAGACTGTTCTTTGATTTCATTTCTTGTAAATTTATTGAGATTTGCTTTATTGTCCAGAGAACAGTCTATCTTGATGAACACTCTGTGCCCACCTTTAAGCGATATGTATTCCATTTATTTGGACTGTTCTATAAATGTCATTTAGGCCAAGTTTGATGGTAATGTTTTCATATCTTCTGTTACCTTCACTGATTTTCTGTCCGCTTGTTCAGTTAGCTGTGAGTAGGGATATGAGATCCCACCTCCCTCCAGGCCTGCGGGGTCTGCTACGTGCACGTGGAAGGTCGGAAGGCCCCCTGTGGTCCACTGTGTTCACGTCCCCTCGCCGCCACTGCCGCGGCCCCACCAGGCCCGGGTTGGGCTCGCGTGCTGCACCCATCCTGTATTTTTGCTTTGAACCTCTCTCTGTCGTAACGCGTAGCGTGTTTTTGCAGGTGGCGTAGCGGTAGCCTCCCTTTTGCCCCAGTCTGCCAGGCCCTGCCCTTCCTCATCTGCAGCCGTGTGGCCTGTGAGCAGAGGCGCTCTCCATGTCCCCACCGCCGGCTCTGCACAGAGTGCCTTGGGTCTGGTCACCGCGTGTGCCTGGCGCCCCACGCTGGCTGCTGTCCAGCACCAGCCGGCCATCCTTCCATCTGCTCCTGACATTGCTGCCTGGAGTCGTGCTCAGAGCCATGGGGTCCGGGCGGCGCAGGAGACTGCTCCCACTCACTGCAGGCCCGCTGTCACCTGTGTTTCTGACTGCGAGGCTTAAAAGCCGAGGTTCCCGCAGTGAAGTGCCGGGGCGGCTCCCGCAGCAAGGGCGCACTTACTCGCATTTACAGGTTTATTATATGGGAAGGGGCTTCCCTCATAGCTCGAATGGTAAAGAGTCTGCCTGCAGTGCAGGAGATGTGGGTTTGATCCCCGGGTTGGGAAGATCCCCTGGAAAAGGAAACAGCAACCCACTCCAGTATCCTTGCCTGGAAAACCCCATGGACAGAGGAGTCTGGCAGGGTACAATCCATGGGGTCACAAAGAGACGGACACGATTGAGCGACTTTCACTACATGAAAAGGGACACAGATGAACAGCCAGATGAGGGTGCACAGGCTCCTGAGTGCAGGGGCATCTGTCCTCATGGAGTTGGGGTGCGTCACCCTCCGGACCCGTGAGTGTCTTTGCTAATTGGGGTTTCGTGATGTGGGCCTGAGGAGTGTTAGCTCAGTCTGCAGGCAGTCCTGAGGGTCGGGGGCTGAGAGTTGCTTTCTGACCGTGGCGTGGTCTTTCTGGCGAGGAGCCTCCATCATTGCCTCACTAGAACGAAAGGTGTTCCTGTCACTGGGGAGCTTCCGAGAGTCTTAGGAGCCCTGCGTCAGGACCTGGGGGCACAGACCGGTACACGCCGACGTACAGTGAAGTGCGCTTACTTAAAGGGTGTGATGTGCTGAACACACACACACACTTCCCTCGTGTTTATACATGTAAGCAGCTGCCGCGCAGAGGCATCTTCACACACAGTGAGTCTTAACAGTTACAAAGGCGTTCTTTTGTTGAGAAGGATGATCTTTTCAACAAACGGTATTTGAACAGTTAAGATATTCATATACTAAACAATGAATTTGAGTCTTTCAAAGATCTAAATAAAAACAAACACAGGAGAAACTCTTTCTTAGATACAGCTCCCAAAGCGCAATCCATAAAAAGACCCATTGCTGGGACTTCCCTGATGGTCTGGGGAGAAGCTGCCGCGCAGTGCCGGGGACTCGGGCTCGGTCCCTGGTCTGGCCCTGAGGCCCCACATGCCGAGAAGTGCCTCAGGCTGAGAGCCGCAGCTCCGCACCCGCACACCACAGCCAGATGTGCCCCGGCATGCGTGCTGCAGCTGAGACCCCACCGGCCAGTAAATAGGTCTTTTTCTTGTTAAAGAACATTTGATTCTTAAAAAGCAAACTGGTAAATTGGACTTCATTAAAATTAAGAGCATTTCCTTTCAGAAAGCACTTAAAAGAATGAAAAGGCAAGCTGCAGACTGGAGTTACATACCTGGTAAATGGTTTCTCTTCAGACGTGAGGAACTCTGAGAACTCAATAATAAGGAAACATTCAGTCCATAAAAACATGGGCAAAATACGTGCACAGATGCTTCACCAATGGAGAGAGACAAATAGCAAATGAACATGTCAAATGTCCGGTGTTACCAGTCGTTAGGAAATTACCTCGTTGGTTACTTGCTAAGTCGTGTCTGACTCTTTGCGACCCCATGGACTGTAGCCCGCCAAGCTGCTCTGTCCATGGGACTCTCCCGGCACGAATACTGGGGTGGGTTGCCATGCCCTCCTCCAGGGGATCTTCCCGACCCAGGGATTGAACCAGGGGCTCCTACATTTTCAAGCAGATTCTTTACCACTGTGCCAGCAGGGAAGCCCGCCTATTAATTAGAAGAGCTACACTCGCAGTGATGGACCTTACCAAGTCTTGGTATTTTCTCTTTTTAAAAAAGACTTTATTTTCGGCTGTGCCGGGCCTGGCGCTATGCGTGGGCTTTCTCCAGCCTTGGCGAGCGGGGGCTTCTGCTGGTTGCAGTGAGTGGGCTTCTCAGTGCGGTGGCCTCTTCTGTTGCAGACCACAGTCTCTAGACCCGTGGGCTTCAGTAGTTGCCATGTGCAGGCTCAGGAGCTGTGGTCCAAGGACGTAGGTGCTTAGAGCCACGTGGGATCGTCCTGGACCCGGGATTGAACGCACCCCCTGCACTGGCAGGCAGATTCTGCGCCACTGAGCCGCCGTGGACACCCCTCGGTGCTTTCTCTCTGTGATCTCTCCTGGCGTGTTCGGGTGCATGGCAGCATGTGTGTGTCCCTCCCTCTCCCCGTCTCTCACCTCTGGGACCATAAGTTTGTTTTGTATGTCTGTGAGTCTGTTTCTGTTTTGTAAATAAGTTTATTATCTTTTTTTTTTAGATTCCACATGTAATTGATACCACATTTTTCTTTGTCTGACTTCGTTTGGTATGTTAATGTCTAGGTCCATTTGTGTTGCTGCAGTAGCATTATTTCATTCTTTTTAATGGCCAAGCAGTCCTCCGTTATATCATATCACACCTTCTTTGTCCATTCATCTGCTGACGGAGGTTCCGGTTGCTTCCACGTGTTGGCCGCTGCGGATGGCGCTGCTGTGGGCACTGGGGTGCTTTTGTCTTTTCAGGTTGGTGTTTTCTCCAGATGTGTGCCCAGGAGTGGGGCTGCCGGGCCGTGTGGCAGCCCTGCTGGCTGTTCCCCATCATGCCTGCACCGGTTTACATCCCACCAGCAGTGGGGCCGGGCTCCCTTTTCCCCACACCCCCACCCTGGATCATTTGTAGACTTTTGGGTGATGGCCCTGTGACCAGCGTGAGGTTGTACCTCATTGTCATTTTGTATTTCTCTGATTATTAGCGATGTTGAGCATCTTTTCATGTGCCTTTTGGCCCACCTGTATGTCTTCTTTGGGGAAATGTCTATTTAAAGGATATTTTCTTTTTCTTTTTTTCTTTTTTTTTTTTACCACCACCAGGATTTTACTCTTAAATAAATGCTCAGCCTCAGGCCTGGTTAGGCAGACATCAGAAGAAGGCAGATTGCAGGCCCCTCGTCCTTGGGAGCAGTGGGATGGCCCAGGGAGGCAGAGTCTCCAAGAAGGTAAGCAGGGCGCTCGGGGCAGCGAGGGCCGCCAGAGACGGTGTTTCATCCTGTGACTAGGTTATAAAGGCAAGGAACAAGCTTTCTTGTTTCACCTGACCAGTGTCGAATTTTTCTCACACATACTGAAGCTGACATATCCATGACTGTGGATCTGAAATGTGAGCAAGGCCTTTGTCTTACTTGGTTCCATCTGTTGTAGATGACGCAGAAGGAGCACCGTGCCATCGAGTCATCAGCGTTCCCGCCTCTGAGACCAGCAGGTCCACCCCGCGTGAGCGCACATCTGCCCCGCGATGCATTTAGCAGAACTCCGGGAGCACTGCGGTCTGCGCCGTGAGGGGACATGCTCATGAGTTTGCCCATCCACTGCTCAGTGAGATTCCTGCTTATCCATATTCGTAAACATCCCAAGAGATAAGAGTTCTTTGGCCAGAACTGAATAGTTATGGTCAGTTATGGAGAACCGCTGGGAGCCCTGTCCCCAAGGGGCAGGTGATTCGGAGAATACAAATTTGAAAATAGGAGAGGAAGATGACCCTCAAACCCCTAATCACAGTGTGGAGAGAATGGACTTTGGAAGTGAGCCGGAGGACGGGAGGCAGGCGGGCCGCAGCGAGGAGCGGGCAGAGGGCGATGCGGCGGGCGGCACGGGCCGGCCCCCCGGGCGGGGCACCTCCCCCGAGCCTGAGGACGACTACGGGGCGCTGCTAGCGCAGTACGGCAGCACCCTCTACAGCGTGGCCATGGAGGCCGTGACGCAGAGCCTGCTCTCCGGCCGCGGCCTGGGCTCCAGGAAGAAGTCCCCGGCCTGGAAGCACTTTTTCATCTCGCCGCGGGACAGCACCAAGGCTGTGTGCACCTACTGCATGAAGGAGTTCAGCCGCGGCAAGAACGAGAAGGACCTGAGCACCAGCTGCCTGATGCGGCACGTGCGGAGGGCGCACCCCACCGCGCTGGCAGGGGACCCCGCCCCAACGCCACGCCCCGCGCCCACGCCCACCGACCCCGGGGGCCTGAGCCCCAGCTTCTCGCCGGGCCCGCTGGTCCCCCGGGCGGCCTCCAAGGGCTCGGCTCCCCTCCAGCTGACGGAGGAGGCCAGCTCTGCTGTTTCTTCCGAGGAGGCCGCCTCCGATGCGCTGGCCTCTGAGAGGTACGGCCGGGACGAGCGCCCGCCGGGGCAGCCCCCGCACGCGCCCCCCCTGCACTGCCGCGAGCCTGCCGAGAATGGAGCGGAGAAGAACCCGCCGCTGCCGCGGAGCGCGTGCGGGTCCCGCCGGAGGTCGGCCGTCTGGAAGCACTTCTACCTGTCGCCGCTGGACAGCTCCAAGGCCGTGTGCATCCACTGCATGAACGAGTTCAGCCGCGGCAAGAATGGGAAGGACCTGGGCACCAGCTGCCTCATCAGGCACATGTGGCGCGCGCACCGCGCCATCGTGCTTCGGGAGAGCGGCGGGGGCCCTGGCGCACAGCCTCCCGGCCCCGCGCCGCCGCCCCTGGGGCCCGCCCCGCCGCCTCCCGACACTGAGCCCGGCCCCCTGCCGGCGTCTCCAGGGAGGGTGCTTCAGGACCCCGCCTCCACAGCCTCCTCCCCCGACCGGCCAACGGAGGAGCCGCCCGCGATCTGGGGCCCCGGCGGTGTGCCGTCCCCCCCCTCTGACGCGGGCGAGGCCTCCTGGGGGTCGTCTCCCGAGACGCAGCCTGGCGGTGCGCCGAGCCCTCAGCCGCGGGAGCCGGGCGCCGTGTTCCAGCAGAACAAGAAGGTGATGAAGAGGCTGAAGTCGGAGGTGTGGCACCACTTCTCGCTGGCGCCCACGGACAGCCTCAAGGCCGTGTGCAGGCACTGCGGCTGCGCCATCAGCCGGGGGAAGCGGGGCGATGTGGGCACCAGCTGCCTCATGCGGCACCTCTACAGGCGCCACCCCGAGGTGTCTGGGGACCAGAAGGGCTTCCTGGGGGCCGGCCTGGCCGGCTCACCCTACGCCACCCTGGCTTCCGCCGAAACGTCCTCCCGGTTGACGAACCTGCCGACCATGGTCGCCAAAAACCATCAAGCTGTGTTTCCCGTCAACAGCAAGAAGACCTCCAAGCTGTGGAACCATTTTTCTATCTGCTCGGCAGACCCCACGAAGGTCGTGTGCCTGCACTGCGGCCGGACCATCAGCCGGGGCAAGAAGCCCACGAACCTGGGCACCAGCTGTCTCCTGCGGCACCTGCAGCGCTTCCACGGTGGCGCGCTGAAGCCCGAGGGCGCCTGGGCTGCCCCGCCCTCCCCGCCCGGCACCCAGGCGCCCCTGGGCCCGCCTTCCATAGGCACCGCCACCTCTGACGGCGGCAGCGAGAAGCTTTACGATTCTCACCCGGTTGCTAAGAAAATCACAAGTCTCATTGCTGAGATGATCGCCCTTGACCTCCAGCCGTACTCGCTGGTGGACAACGTTGGCTTCAACAGGCTGCTGGCATACTTGAAACCTCAGTACTCCCTGCCCGCGCCGGCCTACTTCTCCAGGACGGCCATCCCGGGCATGTACGAGGACGTGAAGCATGTTATCATGGCCCACCTGCAGGAAGCCGAGAGCGGTGTGGTCCACTTCACGTCGGGCATCTGGATGAGCAGCCAGACGCGGGAGTACCTGACCCTCACGGCCCACTGGGTCGCCTTCGAGCCCTCGGCCCGGCCGCGCTGCGAGGACCACCACCGCTCGGCGCTGCTGGACGTGTCACCGGTGGACTGTGACTGCAGCGGCAGCAGCCTCCAGGAGCAGCTGGAGAGTTGGTGGGAGGCCTGGGTGACATCCAGCGGCCTGCAGGTGGGCATCACCGTCACCGACAACCCCAGCATCGGGAAGACGCTGAACGAGGGGGCGCGCTCCAGCGTGCCGTGCTTCAGCCACACGGTCAACCTCATCGTCAGCGAGGCCATCAAGAGCCAGAGGATGGTCCAGAACCTGCTGAGCACCGCCCGGAAGATCTGCGAGCGGGTGCAGCGCTCGCCCCGCGCCAAGGCCAAGCTGGCGGAGCTGCAGCGGGAGTACGGGCTGCCGCCCCACCACCTGCTGCAGGACGTGCCGTCCAAGTGGAGCACGTCCTTCCACATGCTGGAGCGGCTGCTCGAGCAGAAGCGGGCGGTGAACGCGCTGTCCGTCGAGTGCGACTTCCGGGAGCTGCTGAGCTGCGACCAGTGGGAGGTGATGCAGTCCGTGTGCCACGCCCTGACGCCCTTCGCCGCTGCCAGCCAGGAGATGAGCGCGCACGTGTCCACGCTGAGCCAGGTCATCCCCATGATCCACATCCTCAGCCGCAGGGTGGAGATGCTGTTCCAGGAGACCACGGGCATCGATGCCATGCTCCGCGCCCTCAGGGAGGCCATAGTGAGCCGCCTGTCCGCCACGCTGCACGACCCCAGGTACGTGCTGGCCACCCTGCTCGACCCGCGCTACAAGGCCTCCCTGTTCTCCGAGGAGGAGGCAGAGCAGTACAAGCAGGACTTGATCAGGGAGCTGGAAACGCTGGATCCTACCTCAGAGCCCACGCCCGTCCCCAATGGCTGCGAGCCGGGCTCCCCGCCCCGAGACTGCGCTGGCGAGGAGAGCCTCTGGGCGCTCATGGCCAAGCTGAAGAAGAGCGAGCGCGGAGGGCGGCCCAAGGTCCCCGAGGACATGGTGCTCGCCTACCTGGAGGAGGAGGTGCTGGAGCACAGATGCGACCCGCTCGCCTACTGGAGCCTCAAGAGGGCCGCCTGGCCCGGCCTCTCCGCCTTGGCCGTGCGCTTCCTGGGCTGCCCCCCAAGCATCGTCCCCTCTGAGCGGCTGTTCAGCACGCCCCCCGAGAACGGCAGCTTCGGCCAGTCCAGGCTCCTGATGGAGCATTTTGAGAAACTCATCTTTCTGAAAGTGAATCTTCCCTTAATATGCTTCCAGTACTGAAGAGCCCGCTGGAGCCGCCCGGCGAGAGCCGGCGTCTGCCCAGGCTGGCGCTCGCCATGGCTGGCCCTGCGGGACGGCAGGCCGGGCACTCAGGTCCACGGCCGCGGGAGGGGCTGCCCGGCCCTCGCCCTCGCGGCCACACGTGCCTTAACCAGTCCTCCAGGCCAGGTACCACGGTGTGTGTTTTCAGAAGTCCACGAGAAGCAGCTTGTCTCGTCAATGATGAAATACGATGATTAGGTTTTCATTTGTAACCGTCAAGTTTTTTACGAGTTGGGGATCAGTTTGTTTCAGTAGAATGGCAGAGGAGAGGTGAGCAGTTTTACTCTGTAGGCTTTTTATTCGGTTATGTAAAAATCAGATCAGGTACTGTACTTTAGTTAAAAATTGCTTTAATTGCAACAGAAGAGCCTTTGTGGCTGTCAGATAAAATCTGTAAATAGGAGATGGAGTTGAAGCCATCCTGACCGAGCAGTTCCTACTGCGGCTCTAAAGGGCGTCGAGGGGGAGAGTGTTCTGGGAGGAAACTGTTGACCATGACAGAGACGTGGCATCGGCGACAAGCCTGAGCTGATACATGACGGAGGGTCGGTCACACAGGGTTTCCGCAGAGTGCGCGCTCCCATTTCAGGGGTTTGCCCTGGTGCCACGTGGGCGGTTAGCTTGGACACACACCCACGTCCACGGTGCGTGCGGTGGGGCCACTGTCGGGCCGGTGCACGGCGTGACACGTTTACAGCGTCCTGTTGATGAATCTCCAAGCCTCTGACTCAGTGGCTCTACACCATGAAGCTGTCTTGAAATTTGTGCACTGACCCCCAAATTGATCCAATTATGTACACAGTTCTTTTTAGAAGAGGTGGCTTATTAACAGGGAAGAAGATTGCTATGTTATGGTTGTAAGAATGGTTGTAAGAATAGCCTTAGGCGTTTAGATTTTCTTTTATAAAATAGGGAAGATTCAGCCATCAGTGGGGTATTTTAGGATCCCAAGGACATCAGAATGGATTATCAGTCATCAGGTTTTTTTTTTAACAATAATATGTCTTCAAAGTTTTTGTCTCAGCGTCTAGAAAAGAATTCATTTTCTTATTTCAAACCAGTTCAATATTCTGGGCGAAACGAGTCACTGATTTGCCTATGACCTTTTAGAAAAGTTGTTGTTTTGTTAAAATACTGTACTTGTCATTAATCTGACTTTGCATTGACTGTTTTTAGTGTATTTATAAATGGTGAGCTCAGTCTCTGAAATTAAACCTTTTATTTGCGATTTTCTACGGCTGGAGGACACTGGCTTTTTATTCTTAGGATAATAAAGCAATCCTACTCTTAGAGGCCAGCATGCACAGAAACTGCCCTCAGCACAGCCTTTAAAT